ACGGTTGACAGCTGTGGTGTGCAACCTTATTTTATTGTCTTATTTATTACATTTATATTCTGCCCTTCCATCCCAAAGGGATCCCCAAGTCTGATTTAAGATCACTGGGCACACTGGGCAAAATGTTGTTTCACACTTCTTCTCTTTTATACAGGGATATAAGCTCTGGATCGAAGCTGCACTTAAATTTTCTCAAGTTAGTGGAGGGCAAACTTGTCCAATGGCTCTGGTTCTCCACCTGCTGTTGGTCTCTGAAGAGAGACATACAGTGCTTGGCATTTACCTCCTGACGTTCTGAGCTTGCAAATGTCAAAACTGAATAACGCTTGTGTTTTGATTACCCCAAGGACTGATTCACAAAGCCAGCGAGACAAAAGGGTCGCTTCAAAACGACAAGCATAAAACCTTCAGAGCCACACATTAACAAGAGGCGTTCATTCACGTGATAATAAAGCTATCAGTTGTGTGTCAGATGTTCACTTACTTAGCCAGGTTATTACATGACATTTGTAAGTAGTACGCCCTTTGAAATGGCATTCCCTGCACTTATGAGGTGACAAACTAGTATCGGTGCAGCGTCATAAACAGAGATGCCATGTAACATTTCAATTTAAAGATAAGAAGTGAGGAAACTTGAGCACAGACCCTCCAGGTGTCCTTATTTTCCAGAGACAATCCTGCATTTAAAGAAGCCATTCCAGTTTCTGAACTGATCCCAGAATGCCCTGCTTTTCTTTAAAGGTAAAGGGACCCCTGACCATTAGGTCCAGTCGTGGCTGACTCTGGGGTTGCAGCGCTCATCTCGCTCTATTGGCCGAGGGAGCCGGCGTACGGCTTCCAGGTCATGTGGCCAGCATGACTAAGCCGCTTCTGGCGAACCAGAGCAGCGCACGGAAATGCCGTTTACCTTCGTGCCGGAGCGTACCTATTTATCTACTTGCACTTTGATGTGATTTCTAACTGCTAGGTTGGCAGGAGCAGGGACCGAGCAACGGGAGCTCACCCTGTTGTGGGGATTCGAACCGCCGACCTTCTGATTGGCAACTCCTAGGCTCTGTGGTTTAACCCACAGTGCCACCTGCGTCCCTCCTGCTTTTCTTTAGGACAACCTTATTTTCACTGGAGAAATATTGGCGGGCGTGTGAGTGAACTTTTCAATAAAGTCCAAAAACGTACTTTTGATTTCTTAAAAACTGGAATGGCTTATCTCACGGGTGGAAAAACCTCAGGCCTGAAGCCCAAATGTGGCCCTCAGAGCCTTTCTACCTGGCCCTTAGAACATTTCCCAGGCCACACGCTTCACTGGCCTTCCTATGAACCCCAAGTGTGTTTGCCTGGCTGGTAAAGGTAAAGGATCCCTGGACAGTTAAGTCCAGTCAAAGGCGACTATGGGGTTGCGCCGCTCATCTTGCTTTCAGGCTGAGGGAGCCGGCGTTTGTCCACAGAAAGCTTTCCAGGTCATGTGACCAGCAAGACTAAACTGCTTCTGTTGCAACCCGACACTGTGATCAAAACCAGAGTGCACAGAAACACCGTTTGCCTTCCTGCCACAGTGCTTTTTTCTGGGGGGGGCGCAGGGGTACGCATACCCCTAAAGATCCTGTGAATGTAAGTTTGGTCTCATTGAGGGGCATTATTTCAATATAAGTAGGAAAATGAGAGTAAAGTGGTACCTCAGGTTAAGAGCTTAATTCGTTCTGGACGTCCGTTCCTAACCTGAAACTGTTCTTAACCTGAGGCACCACTTTAGCTAATGGGGCCTCCTGCTGCCGCCACGCGATTTCTGTTCTCATCCTGAAGCAAAGTTCTTAACCCGAGGTACTATTTCTGGGTTAGCGGAGTCTGTAACCTGAAGCATCTGTAACTCAAGGTACCACTGTACCCCTAAACATTTTTTTTTAGCACTGGCGCTACCTATTTATCTACTTGCACTGGTGTGCTTTCGAACTGCTAGGTTGGCAGGAGCTGGGACAGAGCAATGGGAGCTCACCCCGTTGCGGGGATTCGAACCGCCAACCTTCTGATTGGCAATCCCAAGAGGCTCAGTGGTTTAGAGCACAGCACCACCCGCGTCCCTTTACCTGGCTGGTATGTGACCTTGAGCTCTGACCTTGCTTGTCTGGAGGGAGAATTGAATGGGTGTCATTGAAGGCAGTGCACCTTTTAATACCATCCGCTGGGAACTGCAAGCAGGAAGAGGTCTGTTGCACTCAGGTGCCCAATTTGATGCCCATGGCTTGCCACTATGAGGTTGGCCACTATGAGAACAGAATGCTGGACTAGAAGGGCATGATCCAGCAGGGCTCCTCTAATTCTCTTGAGTATTCATTTTTTTAAACTTGTTTGGCTTGGCCTTGCAATGACCAACACACATTTCAAACATGTATCTGACTACTTGCATATCATTTAGCTTTATTTTATTTATTTATTCACTTTTATTACATCCGTACACTGCCCAGCTTTAAGGTTCAGGCTTAAGGCTAAAGAAATGACCCCCAACCCAGACAACAGGTTATAAGTGTCAAATCTGGTAGGTGTTTGCTGTGCTATAAGAGCGTGCACCACATGTGCTGTTGACTGTAAGTCGCAGATGAGCTAAGAAGGCATTTAAGCTCAGCTTCTTGCAAGAGCTTTTTCCCATCCGAAGGGTTGTTTCTGAGAATACTCAAAGGATTGCTTGAGGCTTAGTGGAATTGGCTAGCACCAAGGTGTTTCTCTTAAGCGGTGGACACTTCCATGTATGGAAACGGGAGAGCTGCCACCTTTTCCTGCATGGGAGGGATGGGGTGTTTTCCAAGAACAAAGTTCAAGTTCTGGCAGGATCAAGGTGCAAAAGTTCAGCCATCTCTTCACTTGAAGTTCAGCCCATGAAATCTGGTGGAGAACCCCAGGTTTTGCAGTAGAAGTAGGGGGGGGAAATGCAGAAGAAGGAAAAATATACCTAGTCAGTGATGTCCCCCCAAAAATAATAATAATAATAATAATAAGGAGGATCTTAGTTCAGTTCAAGGTTCCTACACCCTACTATTGCAATAAAAGTTCCCATTTGAACCAATGGAAACAAAATTGCAATGCACATAGCACACATGCCTCCCAAAAATACAGTGGTACCTCGGGTTACATACGCTTCAGGACAGACTCCACTAACCCAAAAATAGTGCTTCAGGTTAAGAACTTTGCTTCAGGATAAGAACAGAAATCGTGCTCCGGCGGCGTGGCGGCAGCAGGAGGCCCCATTAGCTAAAGTGGTGCTTCAGGTTAAGAACAGTTTCAGGTTAAGAACAGACCTCCGAAACGAATTAAGTACTTAACCTGAGGTACCATTGTATCTGGATTAGGACAATAGTAGAGGACAAAGGATTAAAGCCCCAGTTATGACCTTCCAAAGTAGGATCCTTTTGGCAAATTAAGTAGGATCCAACTCTCCTAGAACAGGGGTACTAACATGGTGCTGTCCTGATGTTGTTGGACTACAGCGCCCATCATCCCTTTTGGCCATGCTGGCTGGAGCTAATGGAAGTTGTAGTCCACCATATTGAGGGCATCACTTGGCCTATAACCCCTGAACGACCCTGTTCCTCTACCATTTGATTTAGGAGGACCCTGTTGTTTTCTTAATTGACGAACCACCTTCCACATCTGTCTCAGGGCAATATACATGAAAACAACTAAAGACAGGTTTAAAAACGGTACCAAAAATAACAGTCCAAGATGGGTTTAAAAATAATGCAGAACAAACACCTCAGGAAGAGATCTGGAAGATCTCGTTGAGGAAAACGGTCTCCAGTTGTTTCTGGAAAGTGGAGATTGTGGTTGACAATTGTATCTCAACAGGAACGAGGGCAGCTGCATTGAAACCCCTGCCCCGAGTCATTGTAAAATGGGTTTCTGGTGATTGATTTGACTGCTTCAACTTTTTTAGTCCTTCAAACTATTATATTGGTGCGTTTCAGTTAATTTGCTGTTTTTCCTGCATTTTAATGTTCTGTTGTGTAAGCCGCTCTGGGTTCTTTCTTTCTTTCTTTCTTTCTTTCTTTCTTTCTTTCTAATGACATGTGAAATAAATAACTCAATGCTGTGGGACCCCTGGCCCTCCATATGCCATGGGACTCCAACTTCCATCAGTTCCCACCAGCATAGCCAATGGTCAGGGATGATGGGTGCTGTAGTACAGCTAGGAAGGGGAGCACCCATCAATTTCAATTTCTCCCCATTTCCAATCTTAAATTCAGTTCTCCACATGGCCACATCAGTTTACTTTTTTTTTTTAAGACAGCATGAAGGTTCATCTGATTTCCTCCAATGTACATACAGTGGTACCTCGGGTTACATACGCTTCAGGTTACATACACTTCAGGTTACAGATTCTGCTAACCCAGAAATATTACCTCAGGTTAAGAACTTTGCTTCAGGATGAGAACAGAAATCGTGCTCCGGCGGTGCGGCAGCAGCAGGAGGCCCCATTAGCTAAAGTGGTGCTTCAGGTTAAGAACAGTTTCAGGTTAAGAACGGACCTCCGGAACAAATTAAGTACTTAACCCGAGGTACCACTGTATTTCTGCCTAATATGCTTATTTTTGCAAAGCAACATTCCCTAACACGATGCATTTCTGTACATTATTTTCACGAATAGATGGGTTTTTATGCGCACTTTATATGGATTTTTGTTCACGACGCTTGGTTGGAGACCTGCTTTGTAAAATTTGGAGGTGTGTGGAATTTGAAGTACATCTGCTCACATATTGTCTTGCAAAGTGCAAATTATGTAGGTTCACCTTGAAGCGTGAAATTAATTGACTCTCTCCGCATGCCTAAATAAAGCAACATCTGGGGGACCATAAATCAATTAAACTATGTACCTACTGAACATCAAGTTTGGCCTTAAATCAATCTTAGAACAAGCTTCATCAACCTGGAGTCCTCCAAGTGCTTTAGACTGCAGCTAGCATATCTGGGGGAGAAGGGAAGAATTACACAACACTTTGGTCATTCTTTGAGGCCTGCCAGCTTTATTAGTGTTGAATTTGTTCAACAGCAACAAGATGAAGTCTTCTCATGTCACTTCCACTACTACCCTCTAGTGGTGAATTTTAGCCTTGGCACTTTAAATTACAAATACAAGCTGGAAAACAAGCTAAATAACAAATCCTGCAAAATATTGGATAACTCTGAGGCAACGAAGGGCTTCGTATTCCTGAAATGTCACACATTTGTCATTGTTTGGTTGGTTGGCTTGCGTAGGCTTTGCAAAATTCAGATTGCACCAAAGTACAAGACTCAAGTCAAAAGACCTGAAGCCTTTTTCTTAGGTATCATGGGTAAAAAAAAAAAAAAAAAAGGACCCCTGGACGGTTAAGTGCAGCCAAAGGCGACTATGGGGTTGCGGCGCTCTTCTTGCTTTCAGGCCAAGGGAGTTGATGTTTGTCCACAGATAGCTTTCCGGGTCATGTAGCCAGCATGACTAAACCACATCTGGTGCAACGGAACACCGTGACGGAAACCAGAGCACAAGGAAACACCATTTACATTCCTGCCACAGTGGTACCTATTTATCTACTTGCACTGGCGTGCTTTCGAGCTGCTAGGTTGGGAGGAGCTGGGACAGAACAAAGGGAGCTCACCCCTGTGGACAAACGCTGGCTCCCTCGGCCTGAAAGTGAGATGAGTGCCACAACCCAGGCATCCTTTACCTTACCTTTTACCCTTTTACTTATGGGGTGTGTCCTAACCACGCACCTGTGATCAATGAAGAAACATTCATTCATCAAAAGCCATTAAATAAGCATCTTCAGCTACTTCTGGAAATCCCCACCAGGCATCGATATCCACCAGCAAGCAAACAAGTGAAACTGGATTGTTTTCATTGCACACACCACAGAAAGAGTCTCTGCTGCAGTTTATAAACTTTACATGTTGTAAAGTATGGCACACAACAAGGCTGGTTGGGCGAGGCTATCAAAATTCAAACAAAGGAAGGATTATTTGGAGAAACACTCCTTAGAGGAGCTTTGGGGTGCTTAAAGAACATGCTCTATTATGCTAGGCTGGGCAACCTGTGGCCCTCCAGGTGTTGCCAGTACTCCAGATCCCATCATCTCTGACCAGTTGCTATGCTGCCTGGGGCTTATGGGAGTTGGAGTCCAACAGCCTCTTGGCGAGCCACAGATTTCTCACCCCTGCAGAATGCAACTGGATCCTAAGTTGTGAGGGAGCATCTTTAAAGAGTACACACAGAAGCATCTGGGTTTTATTTTATTTCTTCAGTTTTTACTGCAGGTGGCTCAGTGCCTCCCACCACGCACTATCGATATTCACAAGCAATATCACAAGCTTTGACTTGCCTCCCAAACTGCTTATTTAGAAAACTGGTGCAGAGATGGCTAAGCAGAAAGAAAGAAAGAAAGAAAGAAAGAAAGAAAGAAAGAAAGAAAGAAAGAAAGAAAGAAAGCTTAATCCAAATGACGCTTACATGGAATCGTAATTGCTCTTTGCAGATGTTCCGTGGAAGCCGCAGCAATAAGGACCACTGACAGCTCATCATGACCCAAAGATGCACAGTATAACAAGCTTATAATGTAAGTAAAAATTAACATATCTCTCAAGTTATTATTTTCTGTCATTTTGAGTTTTGCAGCTGTGTAATCTGATGTGGCAGCTTTGCTTAACATTTTCTATGAAAACTGCTTTGCTTTCAAAGAAAAGTGGGATATAAATGTGTGTGTATTTTTAAAAAGAATAAAGCAGGTGGTGTTTTAAGGGAGAGAGTATGGTTGTGAAACCGTGAAGCCGTAGGTTTTAATAGAGTTATGCAAGAGTCAGGCATTGCATGCATGCCAAACAGCTGCCCCCGAATCACGAAATCGTGTAGGTAGGCATCGCAACGCCATTCAGAATCCGGAGTGTGCCAGGCTCCTCTAGAGCAAAACAAGGACACACAAAGTTCTGAAAGTGGTTGTGGAAGGTGTACAGGTGTTGCATAATATCCGTGTTAAAAAACGACAGGCTCCCTTTGTCGTAATCAAGCAGAAGTCCAATCCTCCGGGGAGGGACAGTAATCGTAATTTCTGGAGTCATCCCATTGTTCAGAAACTCATAGGTATGTCTGTGCAAGAGAGAGAGAAAATGCATGCAATTAGAAGCTCTCAGAGCAGACTGAGTTTTGGTTTTTTGGTAGGGACTGTGTTCTGCAAAGTGTCATTGATGCGATAATAGTGCATTAGTGGTAGATTTTTACTGGACATCATTCCAGTTCTATTACCAGTTTTGCTATGCTTCTCCACTGTTATTTCATTTTTGCCTCCTGGAGCAGCACCCATGCACTGTTACTGCAAATAATAATAATTATTATTTATTATTTATACCCCGCCCATCTGGCTGGGTTTCCTCAGACACTTTGGGCAGCTCCCAACAGAATATTAAAAACACGATAAAACATCATACATTAAAAACTTCCCTAAACAGGGCTGCCATCAGATGTCTTCTAAAAATCAGATAGTTGTTTATTTCCTTGACATCTGATGGGAGAGCGTTCCACAGGGCAGGCGCCACTACCGAGAAAGCCCTCTGCCTGGTTTGTTTATTTGTTTGAGCAAGTGCTTTATAAATGTTCTATGGTTTTTTAAAAAAGTGCAGGAGGGGAAAAAATTAACCAGAACTTTTGTGATATAAAAAGTGACAAGACTTTCAGCAGGAAGGTATGGGAACATGCATATATTGGAAATTAAGCAGCGCATCCAGCTATGAGCTTTTGCAGGTGCAAGATCGTTTGAAAGCAAGATCATTTATGGCTGGGCAGTTGCACCAGAAGATGCTGAAAGTGCCACGGTCATGGGTCTGAACCCTGTAGAAGAAGAAGAGGAAGAGTTTGGATTTGATATACCGCCTTTCACTCCCTTTAAGCAGTGGTGTAGCGTGGGTTGTCAGCACCCGGGGCAAGGCAAGTAATTTGCGCCCCCTAACCCGTGGATTTGCGCCCCCTAACCCTAACCCCCAGATGTTGCGCCCGGTGTGGCCGGCCCCCCCTGCACCCCCCACGCTACGCCACTGCCTTTAAGTAGTCTCAAAGTGGCTAACATTCTCCTTTCCTTTCCTCCCCCACAACAAACACTCTGTGAGGTGAGTGGGGCTGAGAGACTTCAGAGAAGTGTGACTGGCCCAAGGTCACCCAGCAGCTGCATGTGGAGGAGCGGAGACGCGAACCTGGTTCACCAAATTATGGGACTACCGCTCTTAACCACTACACCACACTGGCTCTCGTATGCACTGTATGGGTGCATATTCCTGCATTGCAGGGGGTTGGACTAGATGATCCATCGGGTCCCTTCCAACACTATGATTGCTGTGGTCTAAACCACTGAGCCTCTTGGGCTTGCCAATCAGAAGGTCGGCGGTTCGAATCCTCGTGATGGAGTGAACTCCTTTCGCTCTGTCCCAGTTCCTGCCAATCTAGCAGTTCGAAAGCACGCCACTGCAAGTAGATAAACAGGTACCACTGCGGCAGGAAGGTAAATGGTGTTTCCATGCGCTCTGACACTTGTCACAGTGTCCCGTTGCGCCAGAAGTGGTTTAGTCCTGCTGGCCACATGACCTGGAAAGCTGTCTGTGGACAAATCCCGGCTCCCTCGGCCTGAAGCGAGATGAGCACCACAACCCCATAGTCGCCTTTGACTGGACTTAACGGTCCAGGAGTCCTTTACCTTTACCGTTTACCTAAGGCTTGGAAGTGTTTGTACCTGGAAGAGTTGACTGTGTGCCTCATACACCAGGAGGCATGGCTTGTGCCCAGATAGCTGTCTCGAGAAACATTTTCAAAAGCCACACCAACACGGTATTCTGTATTTTCATTGACGTCCACCTCCCAGTAATGTTTGCCTTGGAACGGTATTGGGTTTCCCAAGATAGCGATGGATCTGGCAAAAGGAAATGTGGAAAATACTGAAGGTGGCCAACATCTGTGACAGGGGTTCCCAACCTTTAGTGAGTGTATTTGGCTATTTGGCTGTGAGCACCACCATTTCTGGTCACACCCCTCCTCCCTGCCTGGATCAGTTCCCTCCCTGAGAGAAAGAAAGAAAGAAAGAAAGAAAGAAAGAAAGAGCATGTACACACACTTTGCTTTTCCAAGGGATCAGGGTGGGTTAACCTGAGCCTTGAAAAACACATAGAGCTGAAAGAGGAAGTGGGAAAGAGTGGCACCGTTCCAACTTCCTCCTGCAACTCTGTGTACTTTTCAAGGGAGGAAAGGGCAACCGCTTTCACCACTTCACCCCAAGTGAATGGAGGAGCTCTCAGAGTCTTTACTGGCACCAGGAGAACACCATGTGCCCTGTTGACGGCTCTTGAACCTTATCACAAGACCACTGGATTTATGAGGGAGCATAGATCTCATTCAACGTGACCCTGACTTCTTCCGTGTTTATAGACCAATTTTGTTTGCTAGGACAACAAAAAAATCAATGGCTTAAAGTTCTTCCGCCCCCATTTGCCCGGTGGCATGCCCATTCCGTAGTAATCACAATGATGAGGCTCACAAGCCCAGGAATGAGGAATCCTTGGCTGGTGTTACGTACTGAGTTGAATAGGAGCCAAAATGCAGCAGTCTGATTGGTCCTAGAACAATAGGGTCCAGAATGCAGCAGTCTGATTGGTCCTAGAACAATAGGATTCAGAATGCAGCAGTCTGATTGGTCCTAGAACAATGCAGCAGTATGATTGGTCCGCAGGAGCCACCCAATCCAGCTCCAGGTGGAAGTGAATCCGCAACCTGATTGGCCTACAGGAGAATCCCAGAATTAGCCAATCACGTGCGACCCACTGTGTAAATAATGTATATAAAGCAGATATTTTGGGGAAACTTTCATTCCTCACTATGTACTATGAGCTGAATAAAGAGCATGAAATCCACACTCAACTCCAAGTATATTTCAGCTGCAAATCGTGAAGCATTTTAACTGTTACCTCTGGAACAGAAAATGCAAAATGGTGCTGTTTGGACAATGCTGCGTTGAATGATGCATGTGATGACTTTTGGTGGGGAGCCTATTTGCAAGCGTCTGAGGACACGGGACTACAATATCCTAGTGGTGAAGGCAAAAAGTGCAATTCATGTGCATTCTTGTTGGAAGATTAGTCCTGCTGCGTTTAATGGGGCTCTCTCCCAAGTATGTAAGCATACGATGGCGGCGTCCATCTGTTGCAGTTTACTGTCATAGCAAATACAGGACTTAGATCAATAAGGCACCTGATTAGCAGTGCACAAAATTCCATCACAAAGATTATAATTTATCCGCATAACGTAAACAGAAATTAAGAGAATCATATATACAAAATTTAATACATTACCATTTTTAGCATAACAAGAAATCTTACAGTGCAATTCTAGGCATGCTTACCCAGAACTAAGTCCCGCTTAAGGCCACATTCACGGCATATATTTAAAGCAGAATCATACCGCTTCAAACAGTCATGGCTTCCCCCAAAGGATTATGGGAGCTGTAGTTTGTTAAGTGTGCTGAGAGTTGTTCGGAGACCCAGTTTTCCCCTCACAGAGCTGCAATTTTCAGAGCTCCCTGTGAAGAGCAATTGACTGTTCAGCCACTCTGAAAATTATAACTCTGTGGTACCATAGTGCTTAAAATGTATGGTATGAATGTGACCTTGGCCCTACTCAGAACAGACCCTCTGAAATTAATGAACCTAAGTTAGACATGCTTATTAACTTCACCGGGTCTACTCTGAGTAGGACTAACCTGCAATACCACCCAGTGTTTAATGGGTTCTCCCATAGGGATAGCAGCCGAACAGGGTAGAGGTCTAGGCTGACCCCTCTTTCTCCTTGTTTTAAGTGGAATTCATTCATTTACTCTCTGGTAAACATCACCCAGAATTGTCAGCTGTGTGTTGTAAGGAGGAATCTTTTGGGAGGGGGGTGGATATCTGCATATCAGTTTGTGTATAAGCTAGCGTTGCCATGGCAATCACAGCAAATTTTAGAATTAAGTGGGAGGGAAGACACTTGCCTGCTTCCTGTAGAATCTAGTAACGTGCAAAAAAGCGAGATATTGCTACAAGGACCGCATCGTGTAATTAGGCTGACTTTAAAACCCTCACAGCTGTGCGATTAAGAGCACAGAGCTGTGATGGAATCCAGCGACGCTCGTCCTTTTCTTTTTGCATTTTGGGCTGTCTGGAAGCCGAGATGAGGGGCAAACCGGGCTCACAGGCAACGTCAGAAAAGCATGCACAAACGCTGCTAAAATTACAGGATTCCCCCATGTTTTATGGAACCCCAGAGGAACGCCAGAGGGGAGAGGAAATTCATTCACAATATAAATGACATGCATAGTGAAATGTGACAAAATGGCTGAGGGAATCCAAGTTTCCCTGCAGTGTAAACTGTCCTGTCGGAAAGTTTAACAGCCAACAACAAACACAAGCTGGTGCAGTGGAGGCTAGTCTATTAGGGCAAATGGGGCACTATCCCTCCCAGTTCAGTCCACCGCCCCACATCTGCCTGCTTCCTTACTCACTGTCCATAGCTGTCAACTTACAGATTTGAAAATAAGGGACCAGCAGCCTTGCAAATAAGGGATCAGCAGCCAAAATAAGGGATTTTCCAAGCACAGGTATGTTCAACTTCTGAGCCCCTCCGAGCCAAAGGCAGAAAGCCCAGCCAGCAGCCAAACGAAGCCTCAAGCAGTGGTTCCCACAGCGCAGCAACCCGGCAAAGGGGATGCAGCAAGGAAAACCACATCACCTCTCCGCTGGGAAGTGCTGAGCAAAGGCGAGTCCCCAGGCAACGCGGCCGATTTGATTGGCACAAGGCATGCAAGTTCCACCCCCCAGTCGTTCTTAGACTCCTTATTGGGTGAGCAACGCAGCCAAGCAACACAGTTGGAGCCTCCCTCCTCCCTGGCCAGCAGGGAGGGAGGGAGAGGAGCTGCTTCCTTTGAAACCTGGGAAATTTAAGGGACATCATCAATAAGGGACAGCAGCGGGACACAGCGCTGGGATAAGGGACTTTCCCGCCAAATAAGGGACGGTTGACAGCTATGTCACTGTCATAGCTCCTCCTCTTTAGTCTTGGTGTTGCCCTTGTCAAACTTAGAAGGGAGGAGGCAGATGGGGGCAAAACCAGAATGTGTTGGCTCCGCCTCTCACTTGCTCTGACTCCACCTACTTTTCATTCACGCTCCCTAATTTCTACCCCACCAGTCCCAATGTCTGAAAGAGGAGGCAGACATTTCCTATTGATTTTTTTTTTTTTTTACTGCATTTGAGCACAGAGCGGAAGAATCTTTATTTGCATCAGCCACTAGCCATAGCAATAAAATAAAATAAAATGTACTGAAGACAGAGGTAAAAACTTAACTATACAAAATACATTTTGGAGGTTTACACCAATAATCAAGTAATAGATCTTATTCTAATTGCCCCTGCTAAATGGAAGACACAAGATTTACCCACTCTGGAAGAATGGCAGATGAAGGTAATCGAATATATGGAACTGGCGGAGATGACTGGCAGAATCCGTGACCAGGGAGAAGAGTCGGTGGAAGAAGATTGGAAGAAATTTAAAGACTATCTACAGAAATACTATAAAATTAATGAATGTTAAATTGAGGTCTGATTGAAAATAACTGGTATTGGCAAAAGCCTTGTGATTAAGAGCATGGAATATTTGATCGATAAAGTTGTAATATTTATATATAAATAGATTAACTTTTTGAGTTAAGATAAAGAAAGGAGGGTAAGGATTTGCTGAAAGGAGTTCTTAAATGGAAATACAAGCGGGGAGATGTGGGAAGTCAAAGAATTAGGTAATGATAAGAAGGTTAAATGAAAGTATAATACTTTTTAAATTTTTCTGTTTCTTTTTCTTTTTTCTTTTTCTTTTTTGTTATGGATATTGTTATCTCTGTTTGCTTTATGTTATTGTTATTGTTGTTTTCTGTTTGTCGAATTTTTGTATTTTTGCATCTTTTGGAATTTTTTTTGTAAAACCAATAAATATTATATATATAAAAAAAAAATAATAATTGCCCCTGCTAAAGATTTTGCAGTTTTTGCTGTCACCTGATTATCTTGATCTGCTAGAAGATAGGGCTCAGTAGCAATGTTTGAGTGGCCCAGCATGGACAATAATAGAGGGGTGAAAAGCTCACTCCTCAAATCTTTATAAAGATTGTAAGCCAGAAGCACATGAGCCACTGACTCAATACAGTACTGCCATCTCAACAGGGACATATCTGTTTTTCCAGAGGAATTTGAGCACACTTCATGGCTGGCTTGCCCCGGAAGTGTGTCTGAAAACCATCCTTTACTATTATATTAACCCTTTGAGAAGGCATTTTTGAAAGGTGCATGTTATGTACTAAGCTTGTATACTAGATAGAACAATAGGCAAGTAGGATCCTAGAATGCAACAACTGATTGGCCTGCAACAACTGATTGGCCTGCAGGAAAAGACCAATCAGGCTCCAGGAGGGAAGCAGAATCAGCCAATCAGACGGGACTCATTGTGTAAATAATGTATATAAAAGCCTGAGGTTTGGGGGGCAATTGAATCACTGTTTTACAAGCTGCAATAAAGAGCATGAAATCACTACAGGACTTCGAGTATATTTCAGTGCTGATCCCTGCCAAAGAAGAAAAGGTGAAATAAAATTAGAAGAAATGGAGGCAGTGAGAGATTTTACTTTCTTGGGCTCCATGATCACTGCAGATGGTGACAGCAGTCACAAAATTAAAAGACGCCAGCTTCTTGGGAGGAAGGCGATGCCAAACCTAGACAGCATCTTAAAAAGCAGAGACATCACCTTGCCAACAAAAGTCCGTTTAGTTAAAGCTATGGTTTTCCCAGTAGTGATGTATGGAAGTGAGAGCTGGACCATAAAGAAGGCTGATCGCCGAAGAATTGATGCTTTTGAATTATGGTGCTGGAGGAGACTCTTGAGAGTCCCATGGACTGCAAGAAGATCAAACCTATCCATTCTGAAGGAAATCAGCCCTGAGTGCTCACTGGAAAGATAGATCCTGAAGCTGAGGCTCCAGTACTTTGGCCACCTCATGAGAAGAGAAGACTCCCTGGAAAAGACCCTGATGTTGGGAAAGATTGAGGGCACAAGGAGAAGGGGATGACAGGGGATGAGATGGTTGGACAGTGTTCTCGAAGCTACCAGCATGAGTTTGACCAAACTGAGGGAGGCAGTGGAAGACAGGAGTGCCTGGCGTGCTCTGGTCCATGGGGTCACGAAGAGTCGGACACGACTAAACGACTAAACAACAACAACAACAAAGCCTATGAAACAGGCCTATAGATTCCATACCTTGTAAAGCTGTTTTCACGGAAGGGCCATTCACATTTGGGACTCTCAGTTCTGCAACATGCAATTGTCAATCTGTCTTCTAGCACAGACAGCAAGGGGTGGGCCGTCTCCTCGTTCAGAGTGAAGGAAGTGCCTGTGAAAGGATGGAATATTGTAGCCGGCAGGGACTGCGGAACCTTGCAAATGCAAACAACTCCTGTATGATGGCCCCATTCGCACACGCCCAGCGTTGCTCCCCTGGAATTGGGGCCTACCGTGCCAGGCCGCAACCCACTCACCCCTTCCCAGGACTAGGTAAGCAGCCATTCTGCCCATACAGGTGTGAAAAATTGTTCTTGTAATTACTACCCAGTACGTTTCCAAGCAGAACTCAAAGTGTTGGTGCTGACCTTTAAACCCCTTGGTCCAGTATACCTGAAGGAGCGTCTCCACCCCCATCGTTCTGCCCTGACACTGAGGTCCAGCTCTGAGGGCCTTCTGGTGGTTCCCTCGCTGCGAGAAGCCAAGTTACAGGGAACCAGGCAGAGGGCCTTCTTGGTAGTGGCACCCACCCTGTGGAACGCCCTCCCACCAGATGTCAAAGAGAAAAACAACTATCAGACTTTTAGAAGACATCTGAAGGCAGCCCTGTTTAGGGAAGCTTTTAATGTTTAATAGGTTATTGTATTTCAGTGTTCTGTTGGAAGCCGCCCAGAGTGGCTGGGGAAACCCAGCCAGATGGGCGGGGTATAAATAATAAACTATTATTATTATTATTATTATTATTATTATACCTGTGCTTAGGATGGAGACAGGCTCGCTCCGCTCGCTGGAACCTCCCATGTTGATGGCTTTCACAGAGAGCAAGTAGTTGTGTCCTGGCTCCAGCTGAATCAGCGCTTCACAATTTGGAATGCCAACAATGGACCTGGAGAGAGAGAAAAACAGAAGGAAACCTAACGGATCACTGTTGTCAAGGGAGCACAAAAGGCATTTGAGGAAGAGTGGAGAAATGAGGCAGAAAGAGTCCTCCCTCACCCACTCCACACACAAATCTGTTCCGATGTCGGGATCAAAATCAAAATCTTTGGAGCGGGACAAAGGCAGCCGTCTGAGGTGAGCCAGGAACCAGAAGCTCCAATCAGCACAAAGAGCGAGAAGACAGAAGTCTGAGTGGCTAAAAGCTCCCTTTTCATGCTGATTGGTGGCTCTTGGGTGGAGACTGCAGAAATAGCAAAGAGTCTTTGACCCCTTGCAATCCCCAAGGCCCAATGGTCTCAGTGTGGGTCAAGTGTGCCTACTGTTATGTCCTGAAGTTCTCACCCTGGGCCAGCAGGGGGATACTGTAGATAGTTTTCACTCAGGTCCACATATGCAAATAAGGAATTGAAAGTGACGTTCAGTGATTGGATAGTTACAGAAAGTGGTTACTGCTGCGTTGGAGTGGAGCTCTATATAAGCAGGCTGGCTGAACCCTTCAGTTCAGTTCAGTTCTGGCCGGTGAATAAACAAGAGCTGTTTGAAGAATCGCTGTGTCGTCTGATATGTTCACCCACAACTTAACACCTACTGTAAAAGAAAGGTAAAGGTAAAGGACCCCATGGCAGTTAAGTCCAGTCAAAGGCGATTATGGGGTTGCTCATTCCGCTTTCAGGCCGAGGAAGCCAGTGTTTCTCCACGGACAGCTTTCCGGGTCATGTGGCCAGCAGGACTAAACCGCTTCTGGTGCAACGGGGCACCGTGATGGAAGCCAGAAAGCATGGAAACGCTGTTTACCTTCCTGCCGCAGCGGTACCAATTTATCTACTTGCACTGGTGTGCTTTCGAACTGCTTAGGTTGGCAAGAACTGAGCAATGGGAGCTCGCCCTGTCGTGGGGATTCAAACCGCCGACCTTCCAATCGGCAAGCCCAAGAGGCTCAGTGGTTTAGACCACAGCGCCACCCGCGTCCCTGTGCACCTACTGTAATGTATGTATTATCAACTAAATACCACAAAAAAGGCACGTGGCCTTTTTAAGAGAAACCCACGAGACCAGCTGTAGAGAAGCTTGTTGCCTTGTATGCAGGCTCCCAGGCCTTATCAGGAATGAAGTTTGCTAACCCTTAGCTCAAAACGCCAACCTTCCCCTTCGCTGCCTCCCTCTTTCCCCTCAGCTCTTGGGGTGTTTTGAAAAACATGGCCCGAGCATTGCATGCATCTAATACTATGCAACTCACTCAGTAATGATGTTCCCGTCCTCTCCATCTGTCAGCTTGGACAATTCAGCCGTGTAGGAGTCAACAGGATTTGTGTTCCCAGATTCCCAGCGCACCAGCGCTGCATGTTCACAACTCTGGATCTCCTTCCTTTTGAGGACAGGTGCTAAAGGAGCTTTACAAAAAAGAAGCAGATAAATATTTTTCCCCCTGAGCCATTTGGTTATGAGATATACTATGAGGGTTTGTCTTTTAAAAGTATTACAGTATTAAGGTTTTCATTGATTAACTTGAAAACAAAGATCAAACACACACACACAGATCAGCCCCTCCACAGTGGTTGGGCTTTCAGCATCCACTCAGATGATCAGTTCTTCTTGCCCCCCCTCCCCTGCTGAATATTTACATTAATTTATTCCTTTATTTCATCACAGTTTTTATATTCCACCATCTCATGTAAAATATCAAGGCGGTATTCAGCAATTTATGCAAATATGATGAAGCATTTGGAACTCCCTCCCACTTGAAATCAGGCAGGGACCATCCCTGCTAAAGTTCAGGCTCCTGGTTAAAACAATATCGTTTCAGGTGGTCTTCGCATCATGAATTCTTATTTAATGTTTTAAAATTTCCTCTCATGTTTTTGTTTCCATTTTTGAGATTTTAAATTTCTGAGGTTTAAAGTGCTCGAAGTTTAATTGATGTTTTACATTTCGTGTATTTTTTTTATCTTCGTAAGCTGCTTTGAGACCCAGATGGTTAAAAAGCGGGATATAATCTTTTAAAATATCTATTCATTTCTTATTTTTATTTCTTTATTAAATTTGTATACTGTCCGCCCTATACCTGTAGATCTCACAACATAAAATCACAATATAAAAAACCCCAGAAAATACATAATAAAAGAAAAACAAACCAATAAATAATATAATTATTAATATACATAAATATGTAAACAAACAAAAATAAAATACCATACATGCAGTACAAAATTATCATTAAAATGACTGGCTAATCTGAAGAAAATTCAAGCTGAATAGGCATAAAAGGATCTTCAAGATATTCTTGAAAGATAACAGTGAGATTACCTGCCAAATTATCTACTAGAAAAGGCTTTTATAGTGTTGTTTTGTCTTTGTAAGCAGCTCTGGTGGGGTGTAAGTTTTTGAGATAAATAAAAAAACTTGCAGAGTTCAACAAACTTTAGCTGGTTCACGCCACACTTCTGTAGACTTTGCTTCGTTCAAAACTCAGGAAAAGGCGAATGTCAAAAGCCATTCGAAATCTGAAGTGCATTTACCTGTGATGTAAACAGCTCGTTCACTCGCTGAACCGACCCCGGCTCTGTTGAGGGCTTTCACCCAAAACTCATACTGCGCGTTCGGCGCCAGGTTCGTAACTGTGCAGTATGTTTCTTTCACGTTTAGCATAAACGCTGCAGTGAGAAAGCGGAAGATTTAGGAAGTTATTTTAAAATGGCATTTTCTGAAACCTGCTTCTAAGCAGGAACCCTTTCAATATCTGCTGTGGCATTTCATAGTTCAGTGGCGGGAGCCTCTCAGCCAGATTTAATTTTCAAATAAAAACAAAGCTAATGCTTTGTATCTCCTTGCCAACAAAGGTCCGTATAGTAAAAGCTATGGTTTTCCCAGTAGTGATGTATGGAAGTGAGAGCTGGACCATCAAGAAGGCTGATCGCTGAAGAATTGATTCTTTTGAATTATGGTGCTGGAGGAGACTCTTGAGAGTCCCATGGACTGCAAGAAGATCAAACCGATCTATTCTTAAGGAAATCAGCCCTGAGTGCTCACTGGAAGGACAGATCCTGAAGCTGAGGCTCCAATACTTTGGCCACCTCATGAGAAGAGAAGACTCCCTGGAAAAGACCCTGATGTTGGGGAAAATGGAGGGCACAAGGAGAAGGGGACGACAGAGGACGAGATGGTTGGACAGTGTTCTCGAAGCTACCAGCATGAGTTTGACCAAGCTGCGGGAGGCAGTGGAAGACAGGAGTGCCTGGCGTGCTCTGGTCCAGGGGGTCACGAAGAGTCGGACACGACTAAACGACTAAACAACAACAACAACAATGGTTTGTATTTTCCTACTGGCTCGCCTGTTTTTAAAAAGGTTTCAGGACTGTTGTTTCAGGACCCCGGACAACCACCCTGACAGGTGCTTGAAATTATAGCTCTGTGTGGGGGAAACTACAGTTCCCAGAATTCTTCGAGGGCAGTTATGGTGTATAGAAAGCCTTACCGTCCTGCTCCTCTTTCGACGCCTCGTTGCTCACTCGTTTGTAGTACAGCTGGTAGCTTTCGACAATATCTTCTGAAAAGAAGCTCCAGCAGACTCTCACGGACGTACCAGTAGCAGAATTGGGATCCTGGGTGTTCATTACTGGTGCACAAGGAGGCAAAGGAGCTGTAACAAGGAGGGCGGAAGGGGGAAAATTAATCTGTTAAACAGAATTCACATGGTGAATTCCAAAGATCAGCAACGCCACTTAACGGAAGAAATTGCTTTATATTTTATGCTAGTTGTCTGTCTGGTTTAGTATGTAGTCTACACCAAGCTGATGGTGGGGAGAAACACCAAGGGCCACACTTCTTTCTGGGCAATCTCCCAAGGGCCACATAATAGTGGTGGGTGTGGCTACAGACAAAAATAGGTGGAGCAACATATGTAAATTTTCGCTTTGTACAATAGATTAGTTTCTATGTACCCACGCACCCCAGCTTTCTTCCATTCAGACAAGGAAGAGGCATTATTGATATAATAATAATAATAATAATAATAATAATAATAATAATAATAATATAGTTATACCCCGCCCATCTGGCTGGGTTTCCCCAGCCACTCTGGGCAGCTCCCAACAGAATTAAAAGCACAATAAAACATCAGACATTTAAAAATTTCCTAAATATTGAGTTCAAAGACACTTTTCAGCCAGGCAAAAATCACTGAAGCACAAGCAAAGCCAGTAAGGAGTATGGATGGGGGAGAATTCTGAGGGTCAGATAGAAACCAGAAATAAATACAATGAAAATACCAGGGACTGAATTAATGGAGTCCATTAGTTCCTGAATGTCAGAGAAATCTATGACCCGGGCTTCAAAATTTGTCGGCACTGATAGATCTATATCCACGTCCTTTTTCAAGAAGTCGACCAGTCTGCAAGTGCCAGAGAAATGGAGAGTAAGACAGCAACTCTAAGAGCTTGGCTATATATTAATGTCTCATATTTTCTCGTGTGTGTGTGTGTTTGTGTGTGTTAGATAGATATAGATATATATCCATTACATCAAAATCATCCTCATCATTATTATTATGTACAGTATGCAAGTGGGATCTGCAACAAAATGTTGCAGTGTGGACTGCCCCTGTTCAGAATACTCCATTCCTTTCCCCCATCTCTCATGGTTTTCTCTTCTCCACTCAGCGATCAGTTAGCATTCTGTGTCCACTGAGCATGCTCAGTCCCCATAGGACTACTGGGAGGCATTCCCCCCTCCCTCGGCCACCTTTAGTAATTTTTAGTAATTTTTTTCTCTAAATAATTTTTGTACTTCTGCTATTCAGGCCTGGTGATATGCCCATGAATGGTGGCAGCCTAAGCTACATAAGGACCGACACTTGGAAAGTTGAGTTTCTTAGCTGCTATTTAATGCTTCTGTCCCATTCTTCTGTCAGATGAATACTCAAATTACAAAAGAAAGAGCAATACAATGTGGCCTCCCCAAACTTGGTGCCCTCCGGATATTTTGACCTACACCTCCTGCTAGCCCCAGCATGGCCAATGGCCAGGGATGATGGGAATTTTAGTTCAAAACATCTGGAGGCCACCAGGAGATTGAGGAAGGTTGTAATTGGACAATATTGGATCCACAAATCAAACACAGACCTTCCAAATGTCCCTATTTTCAGGGACATCCCTGATTTAGAAAAGTCATCCCGGTTCTGATTTGATCCCGGAATGTCCCGCTTTTCCTTAGGATGTCCCTATTTTCATCAGAGAAATGTTGGAGGGTATGGAGTTATCCCACCCCCGAGCCGTCTGAAGACAACCCTCTATAGGGAAGTTGTTTGTTTTTATATGTGTTGGAAGTTGCCCAGAGTGGCTGTAAGATGTGTGGGGTATAAATAGTAAAATTATCATTATGGAATGGGACGTCCCTATTTTCATTGGAGAAATGTTGGAGGGCATGCAAACACAATCATTAAAAGTTCACTTTGTGACCATGGGATGGTGACGACCACTCTCAACCCAACCTATCTCACAAGCTGTTGTGTGGATAAAAGCGGGGGGGGGGGACCATGTCTTTCACCCTGATCCATTTGTAATAAGCATGAGGGATGGACACGGGCTCTGAAGCATAAGAAAGATATTCAGTATATTCATCTTAAGTATGCAGGAGGGTGGGGAACTACAAATTCAGGGCTTAATATTACCTGTGGCTTGTAGCTACTGCGGCCTGTAGACAAGAGAGGCAGAAAGAGAGAGAGAGAGAGAGAAGGAGAGAGAGAGAGAGAAGGAGGAAAAGAAGAAGGTGGTTTAATGATAGGAACACATTACAATCATAAATTAAAGGGGCACAGGGATGTTAAGGTATGCAACAGCAACAACAAAGGTTTTGCCATTTAACCACAAAATACAGTGGTACCTCGGGTTAAGTACTTAATTCGTTCCAGATGTCTGTTCTTATCCTGAAACTGTTCTTAACCTGAAGCACCACTTTAGCTAATGGGGCCTCCCATTGCCGCCACGGCGCCGGAGCACGATTTCTGTTCTCATCCTGAAGCAAAGTTCTTAACTCGAGGTACTATTTCTGGGTTAGCGGAGTCTGTAACCTGAAGCGTATGTAACCCGAGGTACCACTGTACTATTGTTCATAAAAATGGCACCTGCTGATGTAATAACTTGGAGTTTGACATACATGATTTACCTGAAGAGGTCTATGATATGCCAAATTTCAAACAGATATAATTAAATTACCACAAGTTCAGCAGGTTAAAAAGCGCTGAAAAGTGACACATTTCTCCTTTCTAATCCACTTATCATATATTTATTTCCATTCTTGGTGAAAACTACTACCGTACTTTATTTTGGCTTGTCAAGGAAGGCAAGCTTCCATGAAGTTCTGAGCAGCCATTCAACTGTTCTTAAGGTTTTCCTGAGCCATTAAAGCATACGGCAGCAACTGCTGGCAAAATGATTTATTTATTATTTATTTCATAAAGAAATTACCGTATTTTTTGCACCATAACACTCACTTTTTTCCTCCTAGAAAGTAAGGGGAAATGTCTGTGCGTGTTATGGAGGGAATGCCTATGGGCCTAATTAATTCTTTCAAGTGGTTACATATCTTTAATATTACAATATTTTTTCAAATAGTCTTTAAATTTCTTCCTGCCCGTGGATTCTCCCGGTGAGATCTCTATAAACTCCATCATCTTCATCTGCTATTCTTCTACCGTTGGTAGCTCTTGTGATTTCTATTTTTTGGCTAGTAAAATCCATGCAGCAGTTGTGGCATACAAAAATACTTTTACATCTTTTTGGGGCAGTTCAGAACCTGTTATTCCAAGGAGAAAGGCTTCTGGTTTCTTCATAGATGTATATTTCATCATTTTTTTTAATTCTTTATAATTTTTTCCCCAGAAGTCTTTTTTCCAGAAGACTAAACAGGAATGTTTTTAGCAGGTGCCAAAAAGGGTACAATGAAGATGCCTGCTAAATATCAATCGGCAGGGAGTTCCAAAGTGTAGGTGCTGCCACAGTAAACAATTGGGTTGTTACAGATGCGGAATTCAGTAATGGCAATTCCACTGATCAAAGCGATGCAAGGTAATGCAGGGCATACACAGTTTGCTACTGCAGAGAGAATTCTGCCAGCGTGCCAATGTTGGCAGAGGAAGTCACCGAGTGGATGTCATGTGCCATACCTATTCCTTTAGTTATGGATCATCGTAACAATCAAGAATTGCATTTATATACCACCTTACGGCCAATGTTGTGCTGTGGTTCAGGAGCTGCCAACCCTTTTGGGCCCATGATCACATTTGGAAACCTGAGGAACTGCTGTGGGCAACACCCCCATCATAGCTGTCAAGCGTCCCTTATTTGGCGGGACAGTCCCTTATCCCAGCGCCGTGTCCCGCTGCTGTCCCTTATTGATGATGTCCCTTCAATTTCCCGGGTTTCAAAGGAAGCAGCTCCTCTCCCTCCCTCCCTGCCGGCCAGGGAGGAGGGAGGCTCCAACTGTATTCCTTGGCTGCGTTGCTCACCCAATAAGGAGTCTAAGAATGACTGGGGGGTGGAGCTTGCATGCCTTGTGCCAATCAAATCGGCCGCTTTGCCTGGGGACTCGCGTTTGCTCAGCGCTTCCCAGCGGAGAGGTGACAGTGGTTTTCCTTTCTGCATCCCCTTTGCCGGGTTGTTGCGCTGTGGGAACCACCACTTGAGGCTTCGTTTGGCTGCTGGTTGACTAAAATCCCTTATTTTGGCTGCTGATCCCTTATTCATTGCGAGAAGTAAGGTTACAGGGAACCAGGCAGAGGGCCTTCTCGGTAGTGGCGCCTGCCCTGTGGAACACCCTCCCAGCAGATGTCAAGGCAATAAACAACAATTTTACTTTTAAAAGACAACTGAAGGCAGCCCTCTTTAGGGAAGTTTTTAATGTCTAATGCTGTATTGTTTGTAATATTCAGTTGGAAGCCGCCTAGAGTGGCTGGGGAAACCCAGCCAGATGGGCGGGGTATAAATAATAAATTATTATTATTATTATTATTATTATTATTATTATTATTATTATGACCCCCATGCAGTATCATACCATTTCAAACAATCATGGCTCCCCGCAAGGAACGCTGGGAATGTCATTTGTTAAGGGTGCTGAGAGTCGAAAGGAGACGCCTATTCCCCTCACAGGACTATGAATCTCAGAGCGGTTTAGCTACCGATCCCTCTTCTCGTGAAACTCTGGGATTTGTAGCGCCGTGAGGGGAATAGGCAGAGGGCCTTCACGGTGGTGGCGCCTGCCCTGTGGAACGCCCTCCCACCAGATGTCAAGGAAATAAACAACTATCTGGCTTTTAGAAGACATCTGAAGGCAGCCCTGTTTAGGAAAGTTTTTAATGACTGATGTTTTAATGTATTTTTTATCTTTTATTGGAAGCCGCCCAGGGTATAAATAATAAAGATTATTAATATTGTTGTTGTTGTCATCTTCTAACACCTCTCAGCAGTTCCCAGCATTCTTTGGGGGAAGCCATAACAGTTTAAAGTGATTTAAAAGTATAGTGCAGATGGGGGACTAAATTTAGATATAATCTTTGGGGTTCTCTTCTGGCCTGGCACAGTTTGGAAAGATTTATTGGGGAGGGTTATTATTTGGAAGACTGCCTTCCTCCCCTCCAATTCAAATTTAAAGAGAATAAAGCTGTTGCTAAAAATAGCAAAGAAAGAGGACTCTTAGGTAAAATGCAATTTCTTCTTTTATCTCCTTCTCAAAGATTGCTGCGATTGTTGTATAAAAAGCCCTCTTTCTCTCCCCCCCCCCCTTGCACTCCAGCTACACAACAGAGCAAAATTACGGTGATCACTCACAGGAATTGCAAATTCCTGCTATGTTCTGAACTGAAGCACCTGTCTATAAAAGGGCTTTTCTCAAAACGTGGTCCGCTGGCTGGATTCATGAATCAAAATTTCTGTCACCTTTCAGCAAGTCAATATTAAACCCATTCATCAAATCAATTCACTCTGTGTGTGTGTGTCTCAACAACCACTTGCTAATGCGTTTCGGTTGTGCTACGTTTATCATCAGTATACCATATTTTTCGCCCTATAGGACGCACTTTTCCCCCTCCAAAAATGAAGGGGAAATGTGTGTGCGTCCTATGGGGCGAATGCAGGCTTTCGCTGAAGCCTGGAGAGCGAGAGGCATCGGTGCGCAGCGACCCCTCTAGCTCTCCAGGCTTCAGGAAGCTATCAGCAAGCCTTGCGCACCTGGCAGGAGTTCCCGCGGGCTCGCAAGGCTTGCGGGCAGCAGCCTGCAGCCCGAAGCACGGGGCTCCCTCCAGAGGACGCCCCGTGCTTCGCGCAGGTGTCCGCAAGCCTTGTGTGCCGGGGGGAGTTCCCACGGACTCACAAGGCTTGCGGGCGGCAGCTTGCAGCCCGAAGCACGGAGCGCCCTCCGGAGGACGCCCCGTGCTTCGGGCAGGTGTCCGCAAGCCTTGTGCGCCCGGCGGGAGTTCCCGCGGGCTCGCAAGGCTTGCGGGCGGCAGCCTGCAGCCCGGAGCACAGGGCGCCCTCCGGAGGACGCCCCGTGCTTCGGGCAGGTGTCCGCAAGCCTTGTGAGCCCGGCGGGAGTTGCCGCTGGGATCGCAAGGCTTGCGAATAGCAGCCTGTTCTGGGGGCTGGGGTCGGGGGACGCTCGGGCTTCCCCCGCCCCAGCCCCGCGGCAGGGGGGGGGAAATAAATTTTTTTTTATTCATTTCCCCCCCAAAAAAACAAGGTGTGTCCTATAGGGCGAAAAATACGGTAATTTGTGACACTTTGTGCTGCTCTGATCTGATTGGAAGCAGGGATTCAACCCCACTGTGCCTATCTTCTTTTTTTAATTATTATACATTTTTATTAATTTTAACATATCACTTCCAACAGTCATTTAGCATAATTTCTGGTCTTATACAATATTTTGGACTTCCGTCAACAACCTCTGAAGATTTCCCATTCTTTATCACTTATTCTGCATTTCTTAATTTCTCTATTACTTTTAATTATCGTTAACTAATAGTTCTCTTCATAGTCTTCCTTGCAATATTTCACCTAATCCTCCTTACAGAACTTCTTGCAGTCCTACTAGTGTGATCTGTTTATTACAATGGCTTTTCAAATAGTTCAAATATTTACTCCAGTCTTCTAAGAATCTCTGGTCCCGCAGGATTCGACTCCTTCCTGTTAATTTATCTCATTCTGCATAGTCCATTAATTTCATTTGCCGCTCTTCTTTCGTCGGTAATTCTTCTTGCTTCCATGTTTGTGCCAAAAATATTCTTGCTGCCATTATTGCACATAAAAATAATTTACAGTCCTGTTTGTTAATGTCCTCCCCTACAATGCCAAGTAAAACCAAAAACTTCAATCAGAAGCACCCCATCAAATTCAATGGAGCTTAGCCAGTGCTGTTTTTCTAGAGAAGCAGGTGCTGGACTTCACCATGAACACCTTCCTTGCTCTCTTATAATGGCACCCACCTGAGGGGTGCCAGAACCGGGTTCTGTTGAATTCCAGCTGAAAAAAAAGCCTGGGCTCAGCTCTCCCCACCCTCAAAATATTCTGTGTTGGAGAAATTCATTTACCCTGCAATAGCCTGGCCTTCACCAGCTTCTGAAGCAATGCTTGTGTCTCCTTTAATTCAGCATTTAAGAGAATGCCAGTGTTCAGTCTCACAATAGTTCTGATTGTCCTTGTTACAGAAGAGCTGCTTTTTTCCCTTTCAGTTTCTCTTAAGCCGCTTTGTGGGTCCGGTCTTTGGGACAGAGGCTTGCGAGTACGTACCCTATATTGAAAGCACATGGCTTCCGCCAAAGAATCCTGGCATCTGTATGTATAAAATGTCACAGTGTTCCCAGGGCAATTAACACGTACCGTATTTTTCCGTGTATAAGATGCCCCCATGTATAAGACGCCCCCTAATTTTTGGGGACTCCAAATTAAGAAAACACCCCTCAGCACTACCCGTGTATAAGACGAGCCCCAATTTTAAACCTAAAAACCTAGTCTTATACACGGAAAAATACGGTACATCTATTAAAAAACACACACACTCAAGAACCAAAAAGCAGTAGGCTTTTTAGTAACTGCTGAATAAAATGTGTCAGGTAGGCCATTTGTATAATCCTCATAATATCGCTTGGAGTTTCGCAACTCTGCTGTGGCAGTTCTTTTGTTCCTTACAGACACTCCCTCAGAAATGTGGGTCGCATCCATACCACACATTTAAAGCACTCTTACACCACTTTAACCAACACAGTCAAGGGCGCTGACTTGGGCTCCAGGTTACGGGTACCCAATGGCACCCGTGATGTGACGTAACGTGATGACATCATGACATCACGTTGCGTTGGTTGTGTGGCGCCGCTTCTGAGGCCTCACGGGGTCTTGGAGATTATGCCAGAACCTCAGTTTCTACCAGAAGTCACATTCAGAGGTCTGGCAGGGCCTCGGACGTCACTTCTGAGACCTTGCGGGGTCTTGAAGGTCACACCCGAGTCCTCCCAAGACCTCTGAAGGTCCTCTGGGAGGTTGCGTTGGGGCTCCGACACGACTTCCGGTAGAAACCAGAAGTCACATCAGAGCTCCATGTTGTGGGTGCTAAGCACCCACAATTTTTGGTGGGTACCCTGGCATCCAGGGCTCTCTAGACCTGGCGCCTATGATCACAGTTCCCTCTAAAGAATTCTGGGAACTGCAATTTTTTAAGAGTACTGATTGTTAGGAGACGCCTCACAGAGCTACAGTTCCCAGCACTCTTAACAAACTACAGTCTCCAGGACTCTTTAAGGAAAGTGGGATAAAAATAATAATTCTCATTTAATTTTAATTTGCTTACAGACTGTCTCATTTGCATTTATCAACTGATTCTTAAAGCAAAACAAAACAGATCTGAGGTTAAAGACTACATAAGTATTTCATCACTGGTTATTTCCATCGCATACATCTCCTTACCTTGATCGCATTCACTTTATTTTCACCTTGGCTGAGATCCTCAATGGTTTCCATCAGGTCTTTACATGTGTCCAGGTTGCCTCCACAGCTGACCAGCTGCTCATACAATCCTTCCAGCTTCTCCTTCTTTTCTTCCCCCAAAGCCTGCATGACTTCCTCATACCTTTGCTCGAGGGTCAACATGAGATCATTGTAGCCCCTCTCCAAGTTCTGCTCCTGCCTAGCAAAATTCTCCTGGAAAAAGAGCATTTCAGGGTTGGAATGGGTTTGCTGAGCAATGGCCACCCAAAAGATCCACGAAAGGACCTACATGACAAACCTGCCCTGGTTTTATAATACCGGTTCAGCCATAATAGGTTTTTTTTTTTTTAAAGAAGCAGATTTTCCAGCTGCACAAATTTCCCGCCAGACACCCCACACTAAAAAGATAGAAATCTGAATGAACACAAAGAGTGCTTTGCTCTTGGCATCAATGGCAGTTTCTCTATAGGCGTTGGTTGTTGTTATCTACTATGAAGCAACGGTTCATTTATGGATCTGTCTTAATTCAGTAACCTGAACAAACATAAACCCCTGTCTTTTATAATGTGATAATCTACCAAAATGCAAACACAACACGCTGGCTAATAACTTAGTAAATATATAATCGGTATGATGTCATTCAAAATATACGAATAAGCCATTTCAAAATAATATATATATCATACAACACATCTCACAAAATATACAAGAAACTGCAAGTTGTTATATGTATCAGAGTCAAACAAAGGTTCAAACAACCAATAAATAGCTTAGAGATGTTTTCCTTTGAGACTTGTGTGAGACGTCTTCCGTTGAGAGATAGTTTGGTGTTCATTGGTTGTTCATTGGTTAGCGGAGTCTGTAACCTGAAGCGTATGTAACCCGAGGTACCACTGTATATATTTACTAAGTTATTAGCCAGCGTGTTGCGTTTGCATTTTTGTAGATTAATTCAGTAACCAAAAGTGGTGAAAAACTTCAAGGGTATTTACAAGGACAACCCCAAACATTACCTGCCTGAAGATGAAGAAGGAGGAGAGCAGATTTCAGCCCCAAAGAAGAAGGTATTTTAACATGGTTTGGCAGTTTAAGGAGGAGTTCAGTATGGATGGTGCTTGTCTGATCTCAACTGGTAGGAAGTCCCATAAAATTCGGCCCACAATCCTCAACCTTTGGTTTCTAGTGGATACGCACCATGGGGGACTTCTAACAGTGACTCCCCTGAAGACCTCTGTGACTGGGCAGGGATATAAGGGATCAGGTCATCCTTGAGGTATCTTGGGTCCAAATTACTAACTTAATACAAGAACCTTGAACCTGGTCTTGTAGCATGTGAGCAGCCAGTGCCGACCTTTGAGCACTAGAATTATGCGCTGGCAATAGTCTATCTCCAACAACCGTCCAACCGCAGCATTTGGAAAATCCAAAGGTAGCCCCACAATCAAGTATTGAGGTCCCATTCTTGAGATTTCCAATGCATGAAGATGTCTCACCTCGATGGTGATAAAAATTTCCTCCAAGTGGCTAGAAAAGCTCTCCAGGTGAGTGATCTGATCTTCCAGTTTGCATACGTTTTTCCGAAACTCATCCTATTCAAGAAATGACAGCGTTTAGCATACTGGATTATCGTGGAAAGAGAAACCCCCTCCTTCCTTTTTTTATATAATATTTTTTATTAATTTTAACATATAAATTGTAAAATGTACCACAAAACTTATCACTTATACAATCTTTTTAGACTTCCGTCAGCTCCTCTGATGATCCACCGTTTTAACCACTTCTTATGCATTTCTTAACTTTATATTGCCTTTACATCTCTTAACAAATCATCCTCCCCCTTGTCCATTTTTACAATACTTCTAATAATACTCCTCACAAAACTTCTTGCAACCCTACAAACGTCGTCTGTTCTTCACAATTACTTTTCAAATAGTCCGTAAATTTACTCCAGTCTTCTGTGAATTTCTGGTCTCGCCGGTTTCGAATCCTTCCTGTTAGTTTATCTAATTCTGCATAGTCCATTAACTTCATCCTCCATTCTTCAATCATCGGTAACTCTTATTGCTTCCATTTTTGGGCCAATAATATTCTTGCTGCTGTTACTGCATATAAAAAGAGCTTACATTCCTTTCTATTTATGTCACTCCCCACATTGCCCAATAAAAATGCTTCTGGTTTCTTTATAAATGTATATTTCAACATTTTTTTCAACTCATTATATATCATCTCCCAGAAGCATTTCACCTTTTTACATTCCCACCACATGTGATAAAATGTTCCCTCTTTTTCTTTACATTTCCAACATTTATTACTGACTTTATACATTTTCGCTAGCTTGACAGGTGTAATATACCATCTATACATCCTTTTCATCACATTTTCCTTTAGGGCCTTGCATGCAGTAAATTTTAAACCTTCCTTCCATAATTTCACCCAATCACTCAGCTGTATATTATACCCAAAATCTTTGGCCCAGTGAATCATAACCGACTGAAACCCCCTCCTTCCAGACTGGATTGACTGGTTTTCCATCGTCCCCACCTTTGCAATTTCCACCACGCTGCTAAGAGGAATGACCTCGTGCTCACTGTGGTCGCCACTCTGCTGACCATCGGCTCTGATCGGGACGCAGCACGTAATGCAGTATGTATCTTCCCCTTTGTCGCTCTCTCTTGCGTTGCCCACGGAAGGCAACCTTTGCTCCTCTGCCCCTTGAGTCTTGCTGGTTTCGCACAAGCCCAGATCTCGCCTCCGGAAGGGCTCTTCCGAAAAGAGCTCCAGGTCTTCAGCTGAGTCATAAAGCTCCAAGTGGTAGAATCTGGGGGGTTCCGCCTCGTTCTCTTTGGATCCCGTGTCCATTGCAGGAGCGAGAAGGCGGGATGCCAATCTATCCTGCAGAGAGAGTTGTTGCTGAGGAACAAAATGCCACAAGATGTTCAGAACAGGCAGAGGGAGAGCTGCGTAGCCACAATGACACGAAGGAAGAACAAAATACAGTGGTACCTCGGGTTAAGAACTTAATTCATTCTGGAGGTCCATTCTTAACCTCAAACTGTTTTTAACCTGAGGCACCACTTTAGCTAAAGGGGCCTCCCACCGCTGCCGTGCCGCCACTGCGCAATTTCTGTTCTCATCCTGAAGCAAAGTTCTTAACCCGAAGTACTATTTCTGGGTCAGCGGAGTCTGTAACCTGAATCGTCTGTAACCTGACGCGTCTGTAACCTGAGGTACCACTGTATAGGCACTTTTAATAAGCAGGAAGAGTTACTTTTGTGTAGCGAAAAAGCCAAAGTCCTGGCGTATCTTAAAGATTTAAATCAGGGGGGTTTTGGTTGTTGTTCTTAGCCTGGGGGCCACATGACATTCTGTGCAATTTTTCGGGGGCCTAATGACCAGCGGTGGGCAGGACCAGAAGAAAACGCAGGTGGAGCAACAACAACAAAACGTTGCTTTTGTACAGGTCCGCTCACCTTCTGGGGTGGGTGGCATTCCACCGGGCATCCAGGCTCTCATAGTGACCCAGCTAGGGGACAGGAGATTGATTCCCCCTCAACGCCAACCCCCTCCATGTCACCCCTGCCCGGCCATTCCATGCTGGCAGGGGATGTGGCCGCAGGTAATTTAAACTGTGACGTGGCCGGGGGCTTCCCACTCTCACCTCCACGCCAGAACTCCTTACCCACCCACCCTCTTTTTAAGTTTTGGTTTGACATGACCTTGCTATGGACAAATGTCGGCCGCCTTGTTCTTGGGGCTGGGTAGGAATTTTTCCACTTGGCAAATTGGCACCTGCCATTTGGCTCTCGCCTGCCTTGTAGGCCATCGTCACAACTTTGCAAGGTTAGGCACTGGGTAAGCCTTTGTTTAAGGGCATCCTGTTTTGATAAGGGCATCCTGTTAAAGGGATCCAGGGGTGTGGATTCTGTCCGAAGCCCAGGTGTGAGCTAGGGCCATGCCACTACCCCAACAGGGACCCCCTCGGGGTGCCCCTATTTTATGTAAGTCTTAGGGTTCCCCCTTCTGGTGGTTTGCCCTTAGTTTGACTCCCTGCAGACGGGCGGGAGTCAAGATATAGCCTGGTTTCACGCAATGCCTAAGCCAAACTGCTCACATCTGTAACCAATACAGTGGTACCTTGGGTTACATACGCTTCAGGTTACATACACTTCAGGTTACAGACTCTGCTAACCCAGAAATAGTACCTTGGGCTGAGAACTTTGCTTCAGGATGAGAACAGAAATTATGCTCCGGCGGCGCGGCAGCAGCAGGAGGCCCCATTAGCTAAAATGGGGCTTCAGGTTAAGAACAGTTTCAAGTTAAGAACAAACCTCTGGAACGAATTAAGTACTTAAGCAGAGGTACCACTGTACAGTCGTGGCCTGTTTAAGCCCATAATCCAAAACACTCATGGTGTGTTTATTAATCAGTGTGGAACTACAGGGCTCGGGGCCTTGGCACGCAATGGGCTTGTTTCCTCATTTGAACACATTCTTGTCTATCATGCAGTGGCGTAGCTAGTTGCTTGGGCGCCCGTGGCGGCACAAATGCCCTGCACCTGGGGGTGGGGCAAGAAGCCCATGGGGTGGGGAAAACTGGGGCAGAGCACTCTGTGTGGAACTTCCACAGAGTCCGCAAGCCCCACGTTGCCGTTTCGGGCAGCATGGAGCCTGCAGGTGCCTGAGCCACTGCGTCACTCCCCAGGAGAGGCGTGTGGCTCAGGTGCACTGCAGGCCCTGGCCCCACGTTCATCGCCCTCAGTGATGACACCCGGGGCGTCCCCCACCCACTGCACCCCACTTCCTACGTCACCACTATCATGCAAGTAGCCACAAAAGAACACTCAAAGAGGATGCAAAGCAGGACTGATGGAAAATGTGGCTCAGTGGTTTGGTGTTAAAGCTATGGTTTTCCCAGTAGTGATGTATGGAAGTGAGAGCTGGACCATAAAGAAGGCTGATCGCCAAAGAATTGATGCTTTTGAATTATGGTGTTGGAGGAGACTCTTGAGAGACCCATGGACTGCAAGAAGATCAAACCTATCCATTCTGAAGGAAATCAGCCCTGAGTGCTCACTGGAAGGACAGATCCTGAAGCTGAGACTCCAATACTTTGGCCACCTTATGACAAGAGAAGACTCCCTGGAAAAGACCCTGATGTTGGGAAAGATGGAGGGCACAAGGATAAGGGGACAACAGAGGACGAGGTGGTTGGACAGTGTTCTCGAAGCTACCAGCATGAGTTTGACCAAACTGTGGGAGGCAGTGGAAGATAAGAGTGCCTGGCGTGCTCTGGTCCAGGGGGTCACGAAGAGTCGGACACGACTAAACGACTAAACAACAAAAGGGTGTTTGGCCTGAGGAGAGTCCTGATAACCTTATAAAGAGACCTGGAGTGAGCAACAGAGCCTCAAGACTCCAGGACTGGCATGGACCTCTGTCCCCCAGCAAGGTGCCAACTCAGGGTTTTGTCGCTGTGCCCTTTCACCCTCTACCACAAGTGGCCTTCCAGTGGCCTTGCTGACCAAGGATCCAATTCAGGCCATTAAGAGACTTTCACGATAGTATAAACTTTACACTACAAAGCCATACATTTTGTTTCGTGGGTGTTTTTTTAACAAACATGTAATTTCAATTTACAAAGCATGAATGCACTTTCAAAACTACTGCATGCAGAAATATGCTCTCGTTATCTTTTTATGCCGCAGTCCAATTGCTCACATTTGTCTAAGTTTATTGAGCAGCATTTATTAAGCTTGGCGCAAAAAGGGTCGTGGAGCGGCTTACCTGGAATCAAAGCAAGACAAGTCCGTCTGTGTAGGTTTACAGTCTTAAATAAAAGACGTACAAGGGAAAGGGTACAGGGAGGAAAATGGAAAATAAGAATCAAGACTCAGGCACCCATTTTTAAATAATCGTTCCTAGATTGAACAGCTGCGCCAGTTCAATCTACCATAATAAAAAAAGGAGAATCTTGCTGTTCTGAAACTTGCCTTCTGTGTAAAGATTCCACAATTTCTTCTGGCGCCCAGATAACAGTAAACTTCACATTTGTCTCTCCTGACAAACCTTGATTTTCATAAGAAGGCAATTCTCTGCCAGGTTTCTAGACGGGCGACTGCAGACTTTTTGCTGTAACACGAGACAGCCGCTTCTTTCTGAGAGGGATGTCAGCAGCGATGAGCAAAAGCGACAAATATAGACCACCACCAGCTCTCGTTGCAGGGCAAGATCCTAAACTGTCATGGAGGAGAATGTCAGAAGCTGCCGGGAAAAGTTTGAAACCCCCTTGGGACCCATTCACAACATCCCTCCACCGTTTAATTCCCTGTTTTCCCAGTTTTCAGGCATGAATACGGTTGCTCAGCGAGTCAAAATGCCATCACATTTGCACATCAGGAAAGTTTCAGCCAGGACCCGATGAAGACATGCTCAGAGCCGAAGTTATGGCAGATTTAAGAGGCCCCATAACGTTACCCAAAACTGAGTTTAATTCAAAGACAGAAGTAAATGAAAATAGAATAACCTTTGATGTTTTGCGCATAAGCCAGGAAAGAGGCAATGGTGGAATCAGAGCCAGGCTGAAACATTTTGCTGCCACAAAAGCTCCCCCCGCCCCCGATCTGTACTCCCTCCCCCTAGCACCATACCTGGCCCTGCCATCACAACTGCACCCTCACCTGTGGCTGCACCCGTGTTGCTGCCACAAGACAACAACAGCACTGAGGATGCAGCGGCAGTAGTGAGGGCAATGGCCCCTCCAGGTGGCAGGTAAAGGTAAAGGGATCCCTGACCATTAGGTCCAGTCGTGGCCGACTCTGGGGTTGCGGCGCTCATCTCGCTTTATTGGCCGAGGAAGCCGGCATACAGCTTCTGGGTCATGTGGCCAACATGACTAAGCCGCTTCTGGTGAACCAGAGCAGCACACGGAAATGCCGTTTACCTTCCCGCCAGAGCGGTACCTATTTATCTACTTGCACTTTGACGTGCTTTCCAACTGCTAGGTTGGCAGGAGCAGGGACCGAGCAACGGGAGCTCACCCCGTCATGGGGATTCGAACCGCCAACCTTCTGATTGGCAAGTCCTAGGCTCTGTGGTTTAACCCACAGCGCCACCCACGTCCCCCAGGTGGCAGGGGGAGAACTCAAATCGCCAGGTGGGTGAGAGTACCTTTGACAAAAGCCAAAATTATTACAAGAATTGCGCACGCAGCTCGCAGGCTCCTGCTTGGCAGTGACCAGCTGCAAATTCTAGCACAGACTCTCTGATGCGGTGGCTCTCCTCCCCTCCTCCCCTTTCCCAATTAACCTCCATCTCCAGGGCTCAGTCATGCTTAATGACATCACCGTGGCCTGGCCCCCTCTGTGACATCACCAGGGACCACCTTTAGACCTCAGATTTGGGCCCTGAAATCTCAGGGACTGGGATGTTCCCCTACTGAGTGTGTGCAGCGGTCACAGAATGTCGGCCGGTTGTTTGTGGAGGGACGGAGGCGGCAGAAAGGAAACTGAGTCGGAGGGGAAATGCCGTGTAGGAAGGCGTGGCTGGCTGGCTGGCTGTCACAGTGAACAGGAACACTGCAACATTTTGTTGTCGGCTTCACTGGTAGTTCTATCAATTAGACTGGGAGACAATTTTATCAGAAGCAGATCAGAGGACAAGGTATAAATGGCCAAAACAGATTCAACGGTAGTTGTGTTCAATTATTTAAAAGGATATGTGGACAAGGAGGGCATCAAAATTGTTACCAACCTATTCATAGCGGCAATAATATCCATATTATCTTATGGTGGTCATTACGACTGATTCTTTAGAATCTGTTGCCTCTATAGCAAAAATAACTTATTATACACACCTGAGAAGGGAAGCAGGCACAGAATAAATATAGATCTTAAGCTGTACACACACAGTAAGCTCTGTTGAATTCAAAGAAACTTTCTGTTGAATAACAAATACATAGGACTGCACTGACGAGGGTCAATGTTTGTCTTATACTGGAAGAATTTTGTTAGTGAAATAATTGGAACGTTATAGTAATGCATATGCAGAGTTTTTATGTTGAAAGATCCTTGCAAAAAAAAATTGTACTTGAATTCATTTTAAAGGATAAAACCGTATTTAGTAGTCTTAAAATAAAACGAGCCATCTGCTACCGAATCCTATCTGTTATGAACCTATATCAGTACAGTGGTACCTCAGGTTAAGTACTTAATTTGTTCCGGAGGTCTGCACTTAACCGGAAACTGTTCTTAACCTGAAGCACCACTTTAGCTAATGGGGTCTCCTGCTGCTGCCGCGCCGCCGGAGCACGATTTCTGTTCTCAACCTGAAGCACTATTTCTGGGTTAGCGGAGTCTGTAACCTGAAGCGTATGTAACCTGAGGTACCACTGTAATGGCCAAACTTGGCCCTCTAGCTGTTTTGGAACTACAACTCCCATCATCCCTTGCTAACAGGACCAGTGGTCAGGGATGATGGGAATTGTAGTCCCAAAACAGTTGGAGGGCCAAGTTTGGCCATCACTAACCTACTAAGGGACGCGGGTGGCGCTGTGGGTAAAACCTCAGCGCCTAGGACTTGCCAATTGCATGGTCGGCGGTTCGAATCCCCGCGGTGGGGTGCGCTCCCGTCGTTCGGTCCCAGCGCCTGCCAACCTAGCAGTTTGAAAGCACCCCCGGGTGCAAGTAGAGAAATAGGGACCGCTTACCAGCGGGAAGGTAAACGGCGTTCTGTGTGCTGCGCTGGCTCGCCAGATGCAGCTTGTCACGCTGGCCACGTGACCCGGGAGTGTCTGCGGACAGCGCTGGCTCCCGGCCTCTTAAGCGAGATGAGCACGCAACCCCAGAGTCGGTCAAGACTGGCCTGTACGGGCAGGGGTACCTTTACCTTTACCTTTAACCTACATAAACAAGACCTAGGCAGAGTGATCCTTAACCTGGATTGCTGCAATTAAAGGAGTTAAGGAAGCAGGAGAGTCATCCACCAGGAAGCACCAGCCAATGGAGGTGTGGCTGCTGAAACTATGGGCAGGTGGAAGCAACTGAAGGCAGTATCCCTGCTGAGGGCAGCAATCATGGACTCTGAATGACTGGGCCACGCCAGAGCAGTGGCCGGCAGATTGCCCCAGGGAAGGATCCATTGGGCTGGGAAGGTTGGAAGAGTGAAAGGAAGAGGATCCTGGGGGAGGGGAAAGTGGAGGGTGAGGTCTACAGAAGTGCTAGGTTTCCTGCCCAGTCTAGGGGTGCATCTACACACAGGGAAAAACCCGCTATAAATGAGTCAGAAATTATTATAACAAAAGAAAAAAAACGCTATGTAAAAATTGCATAGAAATTTATTTTGCTCTCCAGTGCCTTCTGGTGTTGCATGTTCATAATGCATTCAAAACATTTTATTATTATTAATGTAGATAATGTAGGCTTAGAACCACTGGCTGTTTTGATTTGTGCCTCCCCCCTTCTCTTACAACTGTGTTGCGGTGTGTATGTGCGTTGTGGTTAGATCAACATCTTTGCTCACGTCGCCATGTGTAGCAACTGCTGTGTACAGCATCTTCAGCTGCCTTGAGGCTGCACTCAACAAAAGGCGAACCAAAACAATTTGTAGATCCCACAGTTCAAATGGCCTCAGAATTCCTAGTGCAGGTCTCCATCAGAGCAGGCACTCTCTCCCGTGCTGCAGTCCCCAGCAACCCCCGGTGGTACAGCAGGAACCCGGACAAATCTGGGGCGCTTGAAAAGAGACCTGTTATGTACTGAGTTGAATAGGATCCAAAATGCAGCAGTCTGATTGGTCCTAGAACAATGCAGCAGTATGATTGGTCTGCAGGAGCCACCCAATCCAGCTCCAGATGGAAGTGAATCCACAACCTGATTGGCCTACAGGAGAATTCCGGAATTAGCAAATCACTGTGGGGCCCGTTGTGTAAATAATGTATATAAAGCAGATACTTTGGGGAAACTTTCATTCCTCCTCACCACTATGAGCTGAATAAAGAGCATGAAATCCACTCCCAACTCTGAGTATATTTCAAGACCCGAAGCAAAACATTCCGGCTTTTTCCCAAACTCCTGCGGATCTTTACCCCTGCCTCCTCCTGGAAATGAGGGAATCTCCACACTTCCCTTTGTCGCGTGATTTCTAAGCACACGCCCAAAAAGTTTTTCTTTCCCCCTGAGTTTTGTTGAATTGGAAAGCTTTAAAGTCGAGGTGCATCATCTAATGTTTATTGGATGGATTTTCCCCCTAAATTGATTTTTGAATTCTGAATTTATTGTTATTCACATTTTATACTGTATTTTATGCTGTTTTTTGTTGCATAAATTAAGTGTTTTAAATTTGTTGTTATCCGCCCTGAGCCCGGTTTTCTGAACCGGGAAGGGCGGGGTATAAATAAAAAAATATTATTATTATTTATTATTATTTGGATTCAGTGGCAAAGAGCGGGTTTTGGCGGAGAACAAAAAGAGCGTTCAAACACGGAGCTCTAAAGTGCAGACGTGCCTGGGAATCTCTGAGTGTGCATAATCCCCAACGTCGATTCAGAAGTAAACAGTGTGTTTTCCCGAAACGGCGTGTTTTCCGGGGAAAGCGGCAGAACGAAACAAAAACCTCTCTGGCGCGGGAAAAGCGGAAGGGTGGGTGACCTTTGAGCCACCTCGGGACCCTTGGCAGCTGCTTCTAACGCGGGCAACGGATGCTTACAACTTCCAGATTAGGAGGGGAGCCCACTTCCCACGGTGCAAAAAAAGTCCCTCCCTTCTTTTTAAAGGAGCGTGTTTGCTTTTATGAAGTCCACTTCCTGGGACCCAAAAAAAGGGGTGGGGGAAGATGCTTAGTCTCCTCCCCCTTGAAAGCCAACCAGCCAACCAGAAGCGGGGACGCCGCTCGCGACGTCACAGAAAGAGCCACAACAAGGCCTCCCGGGCCGCTTTGCTACTTTCACTAAAAGGAGGGGAGGTGGGGAAAAGAAAGTTTATCGGGGTTCTAGAACGTTGGAAAGCCTTTGAAGTTCAAAGGGGCGCCGCCGCCGCCGCTGGAAAGGAAGCCGCTGCAAGGCTGCGGGCGCCCGGCTTCCTCTCTGCCCCCATGGACGAAGCAGAGGAGCAGCCGCAGCCGGACAGCCTGGACGGCTGGGTGGCCATCAAGGAGGACGCCTTCGGGCAGCCCGAGCCGCCGCAGAAGCTGCGCTTCCTGGTGGCCTGGAACGGCATCGAGAGCAAGTTCGCGGTGACCTGCCACAACCGGACCTTGCAGGAGCAGGCGGCCGAGGCCGGAGGGGGCGGCGTTGGCGGCCCGCAGCAGATGAGCTGGGCCGGCCTCTTCTCCCCGCAGGCCCTGCAGGGCGTCCACCGTCAGCTGTCGGCCTTGGCCCCGCAGCTGGAGCCCTGCCTGCCCGCGCTGCCCGCGGCGCTGTCCGGCCAGAGCGGCCTGTGGGCGCTGCTCTTCCCCGGCTGCCCGGTGCTGGCCGAGGCCGAGCTGGAGGCGCTGTGCCGCCGCCTGGAGAGGTACCTGGGCTGGGCCTTGGAGGCGTGCGGCCGCAAGGCGCTGCTCGACTCGCTCTTCGCCCACGACCAGGACGAGGAGGACGAGTACTTCGAGAACTTGCAGGAGTTCCGCAGGAAAGCGCTCAAGGGGCGGCTCAGCGGCGCCAAGGAGGCCTTGCGGAGGGTACGGGGCGCCGTCGGGGGGCGTGGTGGTGGTGGGGGCGCCGGGGGGGGGGGAGGAAGGGTGCCGAGAGGGCGCTGGCAGGTAAACCCCTGGAGGGACGGGGAAGGAGTGGGCTCAGATTCCCTAAGGAGAGGCAGTGCGGTGCAGTGGTTAGCGCGTCGGACGAGGACCTGGTGGAAACACAGTGGTACCTCGGGTTGCAGACGCTTCAGGTTACAGACTCTGCTAACCCAGAAATAGTACCTCGGGTTAAGAACTTTGCTTCAGGATGAGAACAGAAATCGCACGGCAGCACGAGGCCCCATTAGCGAAAGTGGTAAGGACCCCCTGACCATTAGGTCCAGTCGTGGCCGACTCTGGGGTTGCGGCGCTCATCTTGCTTTATTGGCCGAGGGAGCGGGCGTACAGCTTCCGGGTCATGTGGCCAGCGAACCAGAGCAGTGCATGGAAAGGCCATTTGCCTTCCTGCCAGAATGGTACCTATTTATCTACTTGCACTTTGAGGTGGTTTCGAACTGCTAGGTTGGCAGGAGCTGGGACTGAACAACGGGAGCTCACCCTGTCACAGGGATTTGAACCGCCGACCTTCTGATCGGCAAGCCCTAAGCTCAGTGGTTTAACCCACAGCGCCACCTGCGTCCCTTGCAGCTAAAGTGGTACCTCAGGTTAAGAACAGTTTCAGGTTAAGAAAGGACCTCCGGAGCGAATTAAGTACTTAACCCGAGGTACCACTGTATTAAAATACCGTAATACAGCTTCCCTGAACAGGGCTGCCTTCAGATGTCTTCTAAAAGTCTGGTAGTTGTTGTTCTCTTTGACATCTGGTGGGAGGGCATTCCACAGGGAGGGCGCCACTACCGAGAAGGCCCTCTGCCTGGTTCCCTGTAACTTGGCTTCTCGCAGGGAGGGAACCACCAGAAGGCCCTCGGAGCTGGACCTCGATGTCCGGGCAGAACGATGGGGGTGGAGATGCTTCTTCAGGTATACTGGGCCGAGGCCATTTAGGGCTTTAAAGGTCAGCACCAACACTTTGAATTGTGCTCGGAAACGTACTGGGAGCCAGTGCAGGTCTTTCAAGACCGGTGTTATATGGTCTTGGCGGCTGCTCCCAGTCACCAGTCTAGCGAATTAAGTTCTTAACCCGAGGTACCACTGTACCCCACTTGGCTACGAGGCTGCTTCGGAGGGGGGACCTTTCTCCAAGCCACCTGCCTCGGGGCCTCACCTACCTTGCAGGGCTGTTGTGGCAGGGGAGATCAAATCATCTGTATACGCCCCCTTGAGTTTCTTGCAGAAAAAGGTGTGGATATAAATGCAAGAAATAAGCAAATAATCCAGGCTTTTGTAAGTTTCGGGTTCCCCACATGTTGTTGGACCACTGCTCCCGTCAGCTCCACACAGCATTTTGGCCCAGTGGGTGGGAACTGTAGTTGCAACAACGCCTGGGAACGTTAGTTCGGGCAAGGCTGCTCTGATATGTGTGCGTCTTCATTTCTTACATTTGTAGACCACTTACCAGCTGCACAAAGTCCATTGTTCGAAAAATAAGACTTTAGAGTCACCTTGCCCCCAAATGGCAACTAGACATTCCATACATTGGCGACTGCAACCGTGGTTTAAGGAGCCGTTTGGCGCTGAGCTTTGATATCTGAGTTTCTAACACTGATACTTGCCTGGAACCCTGGAGAGTCGCTACCAGTCAGTGTAGACACTATTGAGGTTAATGGGCTGATTTGGCATAAGGAAGAGTGCCCTGAATTTTTGAGCTCTATGCAGTGGACACACAGCAGTGAGCTGGAGCCATTTAATTCCACCCCAGTTTTCAAAGCCCCATGGGAACCCGAGGCCAAGGAGCCGCAAATTTTGTGAAGGTTGACACTCAGCCAAATAAAGCCTTCCTTGTGTTGTCATGTAAGGTGCTGCGTGCAACTCTCCAAAATCCAAACCACCCCCCGGCCCACCAGCTGTGTGTTGGATGGAGATGCTGTTTGGATGACAAATCAGCTGTCGAAATCCTCACAAGTCTTCTGCATATTTAGGCTTAAGTGTAAGGGAGAGGCCTGTGTTTATAGGAGCAGGCAGTGTTGAACCGGATAGGGTATCTGATTGCAGTCATTAAACGAACTGGAAATTCCCCTTGACCTGCAAAAAATGCCTTCTCAGAAATCTGAGCGAGTTTCTCTTTTATAACAGCTGTCCCGGGTTTCCAGATCACTATAAAGCAGAGGATCCCTGGTTTTAAAGCGTATTTATCTTTTTTTATCCCACCCATCCTCTAAGCATAGGGGGGTGATGTACCCAGTACTTTCTATGCTCTGCACAGTTGGGAGGCAGCGATTCTTCTGAATGTCAGTTGCTGAAATCCCCCAGGACAAGAGAGTGCTCCTGTGCTCAGGCGCAGCTTGAGGGTTTCCCACACGCATTTGGATGGTCGCTGTGAGAACAGGATGCGGCCCTAGATGGGTCATTGGCTAGATCCAGGAGGCTGTGCTGATAATAATAATAATAATAATAATAATAATAATAATAATAATAATAAATTTTATTTATATCCCACCCTCCCCAGCCGAAGCCGGGCTCAGAGCAGCTAACAACAATAAAATAATACAACATTCTAAAATCATTTCATTAAAATTAATTTAACTCAAATTGATGGCAACCATTGGGCTAGAGTTCTGTGAGGATTGCCAAAGGAGGGAGTTCAGGCTGTGCCCTGGCCAAAGGCCTGGTGGAACAGCTCTGTCTTGCAGGCCCTGCGGAAAGATGTCAAGTCCCGCAGGGCCCTAGTCTCTTGTGACAGAGCGTTCCACCAGATCGGAGCCACGGCCGAAAAAGCCCTGGCTGTGGTTGAGGCCAGCCTAACCTCTCTGTGGCCTGGGACCTTCAGGATGTTTTTGTTTGAAGACTGTAAGGTCCTCCGTGGGACATACCAGGAGAGGCGGTCCTGTAGGTACGAGGGTCCTAGGCCGTATAGGGCTTTAAAGGTTAAAACCAGCACCTTAAACCTGATCCTGTACCCCACCGGGAGCCAGTGCAGCTGGTATAGCACCGGGTGAATGTGATCTCGCAGCGAGGACCCTGTAAGGAGTCTCGCTGCGGCATTCTGCACCCGCTGGAGTTTCTGGGTCAGTCTCAAGGGCAGCCCCACGTAGAGCGAGTTACAATAATCAAGTCTGGAGGTGACCGTCGCGTGGATCACAGTGGCTAGGTCAGGGCGAGAGAGGTAAGGAGCCAACTGCTTAGCTTGGCGGAGATGAAAAAATGCCGCCTTTGTTGTAGCTGCAATCTGCGCCTCCAATCTCCTTGCCCCTCCCCTTTTTGAAAATATATACAGTCATACCTTGGAAGTCGAACGGAATCCGTTCCGGAAGTCCGTTCGACTTCCAAAATGCTCAGAAACCAAAGCGTAGCTTCTGACTGGCTCCTGCAGCCAATCGGAAGCCCCATTGGACGTTTGGGTTCCAAAGAACGTTTGCAAACCGGAACACTCACTTTCAGGTTTGCGGCGTTAAGGAGCCAAAACGTCCGAGTACTGAGGCGTTCAGGATCCAAGATACGACTGTACTGTTCCACTAGGAGGCGTTCAAAGTATTTTCTATTTTTTTTTAAAGGAAAACAATCTACATTAAAACAGTTTATCCTCCTAACAAACTTGTGAGGTAGCTTAGTGAGTGAAGCTGGGGATCACTGCAGAAGATCTTGCATCTAAACAATGGCAGTAACAAGGCCGAAACAAAATAAATAAAATAAAATAAAATAATGCCTTCCAGTAGCACCTTAGAGACCAACTAAGTTAGTTATTGGTATGAGCTTTTGTGTGCATGCATCCATCCATCCAGCATCTTAATTTTCTGCCTTCTGTAAGGCCTAAATCAGCCACCCTCTCAATCTGTTGCCGACTAGGCCTCATTTCCACCATGATCAGGGCTGATGTACACATTCAGCCAAATCCTGTGACCTGGTTTCTGAGACTTCCGAGTTGCAAGGGGAGGGCTGTATACTGCAGGCCCTTTGGCCCTCTGGAAATTACTGAACAGCAACGCCCATCATCCCTGGCCATTGGCCTTGCTTGCTGGGGCTGCTGGGAGTTGTAGTTCAGCGGCCAAAGGCTCCCCTCACCTGCCATGTTGCCTCAGGATCTTCCTGCCTGTGGAAAGCTAGCATGTCAGGAACACCCTTGTAAGCGCGCCTTCTCTCAGAGGTGCCAGTTTGCTATGTGCGGAGATAGTAATTTTTAAAATTAACTTGGAGGAACATTTGGACATACCCCCGGCTTCGCTGTACAGTGGTACCTCGGGTTAAGTACTTCATTCGTTCCGGAGGTCTGTACTTAACCTGAAACTGTTCTTAACCTGAAGCACCACTTTAGCTAATGGGGCCTCCTGCTGCCGCTTCGCCGCCGGAGCCCGATTTCTGTTCTTATCCTGAAGCAAAGTTCTTAACCTGAAGCACTATTTCTGGGTTAGCGGAGTCTGTAACCTGAAGCGTGTGTAACCCGAGGTACCACAGTACAATGGCACCGTCCTCTAGGAACATGGGACTCTGTGATTTGTGTGTTTGGCTGGCGCAGCTCTTGGGAGAGAGTGTGCCATTTGTCGGCAGCAATTCACAATTACTCAAAACAGAGAAGTGTCGTCAGATGCTAAGGGGGAAAGGCAAATTCTCCGGCTCTTGACTTGCCTCTGTGGGTGTGGGAAATGGCTCACATTGGTCTCAGCTGAGATGAGCTCTTAGATTCTGGAACACTTTATGTGTGTTTTCCATGAGGTTCAATCTACCACCCTGCTGTGCAGCCTTTATTCCCGTGAGTGGCTCCCTGTTTGTAAGAAAATTAAACTTATTTCATTGATGACATAGTCAGCATTATATATCTGTTAGGACCACCAAATGTAATGATTTGGCTGCTGCTGTGTTCCATTCTACTGTGATATAAAGCAATTAGCACCCTGAGGTGTAGCTCATAGAATTGTAGAGGTGGAAGGGACTTCTGTGGGGTCATCTAGTCCAGCCCCCCACAATGCAGGGATCTCCCCCATCCAATTTGAATCCATACTGGGCGCTGCTTAGCTTTGCTAATGTGCTAGCAGTTTTATTGCTGCGCCACTACCAGTAGGAACTCTTCCCCCCTACTTAACTTGAATTGCTTAAGCATTTTCCATTGCTCTGCAACCTTGACTTTCCTCCTATACAGTCGTACCTTGGAAGTCGAATGGAATCCGTCCCGGAAGTCCGTTTGACTTCCAAAACGTTCGGAAACCAAAGCGCGGCTTCCGATTGGCTGCAGGAAGGTCCTGCAGCCAATCGGAAGCCCCGTCGGACGTTCGGCTTCCAAAAATAGTTCGAAAACTGGAATGCTCACTTCCGGGTTTTGATCGTTCAGGAGCCAAGGCGTTTGAGATCCAAAGTACAACTGTATTGGTACAGTGGACGCTCAGGTTGCGAACGTGATCCATGGGGGAGGCACGCTTGCAACCCGCAGCGCCGCGTCTGCGCATGCGCTGGTTGCGATTCGGCGCTCATGCGCAAAGTGTGATTTAGTGCTTCTGTGCATGCGCAATCGCTGAAACCCAGAAGTAACCCGTTCTGGTACTTCCGGGTTTCAGCGCATCCGTAACCCAAAGACACGCAGCCTGAAGCGTCTGTAAGCCGATGTATGACTGTAGTTGCAAATCATACGGATAAAGGTAAAGGTAAAGGGATCCCTGACCATTAGGTCCAGTCGTGGCCGACTCTGGGGTTGCGGCGCTCATCTCGCTTTATTGGCTGAGGGAGCCAGCGTACAGCTTCCGGGTCATGTGGCCAGCATGACTAAGCTGCTTCTGGCGAACCAGAGCAGCGCACGGAAACACCGGAGCGGTACCTATTTATCTACTTGCCCTTTGACGTGCTTTCGAACTGCTAGGTTGGCAGGAGCAGGGACTGAGCAACAGGAGCTCACCCCGTTGTGGGGATTCGAACCGCCGACCTTCCAATCAGCAAGTCCAAGGCTCTGTGGTTTAACCCACAGCGCCACCCGCATCCCTAATCATATGGATACAAACTGTCAATTAAAAACTTGCTAGATCAAGACCAAGGTTTGCCCAGTCCAGCGCTTGATTTCTTAGATTGATTGGGGAGGGGTCTTAAAAGAAGGAGGACTCCCCTGAAAACTCCCTAGGGTGGACTGAGCATGCTTAGGGGGTGCAGAACCCTCACTGGCTGTTGTGAGGTGCGGGGGAGAAAGTCGGAAGAGGAAATGGAGTGACAGAATTCGAACCTTTGTTGCGGGTTCGATTTTGCCTAATCCTAGCTGTAGAACCAGTGGGGGGGATCCTTGGCCCCCCAGATGTTTCTGAACTACAACTCCCTTATTTTCTGATTGCTAAGGCAAGAGGGAGTTGTAGTTCAGCAACATTCCTCACTCCTGTTTAGAGCCATTTAAGTTAGCGGCTGTGACTATGTCTTGTGGCGGGCAGTTCCGCAGGTTCTGGAGGTGCCCTGATAGCTGCAGCATTGTTATTATTTATTAAATTTGTATAGGGCCGTATACCTGCTGCTCTCAGAGCAGTCCACAGGATAAAATCACAATATATAAACACAACAGGTGCATTTGTCTTGCGAGGTTTGTGCGGCGCCTCCGTAGGACCCACATCTACGTAAATTTGCGGCGCTCTTAAACGGCTTCTGTCCACCCACCACCACCCTGGATGTCTCAATTTTTTGCAAAGGGTACGATTCCATTGCTAATTTTGGAGTCTTCTTGCCCCCGTAGGTTCTCTACCAGCACAAAGATGCTGACAAGCTGGTCGCTTTGATGGAGCTCTACAAGGAGGAAGATGATGCTTATTGGGAGCTGGTTACCGTGGCGACCGAATTCTATCAATATTTGCTGCAGCCGTTTAGGGATATGCGTGAGCTGGCAACTTTATACAGACTGGAGATCCTGGTAGGTTTCTCTTCCCGGTGTTTCGAAGTCTCTATAAAATAAGATCCTGTGAGATGAATGGCTTTCTCCCCGTGGAGTCAGAAAGATGGGATCTGTTGGCACCAGACTGCTGTTTTGTGTTGTAGGTGTCGTTGACACAACCATAGCACATTGTGATGGATTTATTTTGAAACATCCAGGCATAGTTTTGCTTTATTTGTTGTTCCGCAGGGCTCTTCCCTAATGTTACTGCATTATTGCAGTAGGCGCTCTTGTGTTGCAGTGCAACCAAAGCAGGACAAAAACCAGGCAAACTTAGAATAATACAGGTGGAAGGGACCCTGAGAATCATCTAGTCCAGCCCCCTGCAAGGCAGGAATATGCAGCTGTCACTAATAATAATAATAATAATAATAATAATAATAATAATAAATTTTATTTATACCCCGCCCTCCCCAGCCAAGACTGGGCTCTGGGCGGCTTACACAAGGTATAAAAACAATTGATTAAAATACAACTTAAAAACAAGATTAAAATACAGCATTAAAATGCAGCCTCATTTCAGTAGAAACTCAAATCAAAAACTTTTGGGGATGAAAATCTTCACCAAGGCCAACTATCCAGACTGGTCCTATGTGGGCCAGAAAAAAGCCAGGGAAGTCCCCAAATAGGAGTTCCATCACAGAAGGAAAGAGGGGGAGGGGATCAAGCTGATTCCAAGCCAAAGGCTAGGCAGAATAACTCTGTCTTACAGGCCTTGCAGAAAGAAATCAGATCCTGCAGGGCCCTGGTCTCATGAGACAGAGCTTTGCACCAGGCCGGAGCCAGTGTTGAAAAGGCCCTGGCTCTGGTTGAGGTTAATCTAACTTCCTTAGGGCCCGGGACCTCTAGGGTGTTGCTATTATGGGGATCACACCTGCAACCTTGGTCTTATCAGCATCTAACCCAATCTTTCCCAACCTTTTCCCACCCAAGGGGGGAAAGGGGGCAGCTGCCCCCCTCAAGAAGTAAAAATCAATTCAAATTAATACAGATTTGAGGTTCTGCTCCCTCTAACAAAAGCCGTCCTACCAGTAGAAAGGTAGCTATTTAAATTTTTTATTTGTAAATAGAACATATTTTTTATCATTTTTATAATTTATACTCTTACCTAGATTTCAAAGAGAAATTATAGATTATACTGTAATACCAAAATATTGGAAGAAACGTATAATGCTAGAATGGGAAACTAAAGATGAAGAGGTCAGATGTGTAATGATCAAATGGGCACAGGACTTAGGACATAATATACAAATGGAAGACTGGGAAAAACTATGGAAAGTGGATTTAAAATTTACTGATTGCATAATTCTGAAAGAGAATTATATGAAAATGATGTATTGATGGTGCATGACTCCTGTTAAACTTGCAAAAATGTATAGAATAAGTGCTGGAAGTGTAAAGAGAAAGAAGGTACGTTTTATCATATGTAGTGGAATTGTAATAAAAAACTATTGGGAAATGATATATAATTAACTGAAGAAGATGTTTAAATTTTTTTTAATTAAAAAACCAGAAGCTTTTTTGTTAGGCATTATAGGACAGGAGGGACTTAGGTGGCGCTGTGGGTTAAACCACAAAGCCTAGGACTTGTCGATCAGAAGGTCGTCGGTTCGAATCCCCGCGACGGGGATAAATAGGTACAGCTCCGGCGGGAAGGTAAACGGCGTTTCCGTGAGCTGCTCTGGTTTGCCAGAAGCGGCTTAGTCATGCTGGCCACATGACCTGGAAGCTGTACACCGGCTTCCTCAGCCAATAAAGCAAGATGAGCGCCGCAACCCCAGAGTTGGTCACGACTGGACCTAATGGTCAGGGGTCCCTTTACCTTACCTTTATAGGACAGGAATTGCCAAAAGAGTGGAAGAAGTTATTCACGTATGCTACAACGGCGGCTAGGATTCTACTAGCTCAAAAATGGAACTCTGATACAGACAGAACACCTTTGGCCTCTTGTGAATGCCCGTTTTGACTCTAAAAATATACTCCTTTTATTTTTGCAGAAATCCTTGCAAGCTGACAGGCTGGGTCCTAAAAGGATTGAGGCCCTGAAGAAGGAGGCGGAGGAGTGGACAGATCAGGCTGAAGAAGCTGTCTGCTCCATCCAAGACATCACGGTTGGTTACTTCAAGGAAACAGTGATGGCCCTAGCAGGTGAGCAGAGAGGCAGGCAGAGGCAACCTTCCCTTTCTTTTAAAATTATTCTCCATTTTTGCGTTTTACAATGTTTCAGCAATAAAAATTACAGTGGTACCTCAGGTTACATACGCTTCAGGTTACAGACTACGCTAACCCAGAAATAGTGCTTCAGGTTAAGAACTTTGCTTCAGGATAAGAACAGAAATTGTGCTCCGGTGGCGCGGCGGCAGCAGGAGGCCCCATTAGCTAAAGTGGTTAAGAACAGTTTCAGGTTAAGAACGGACCTCCGGAACGAATTAAGTACCGTATTTTTCGCCCTATAGGACGTACTTTTCCCCCTCCAAAAATGAAGGGGAAAATTGTGTGCGTCCTATGGAGCAAATGCACCAACCCCTCTCGCTCTCCAGGTTTCAGGCAGCTCTCCGCAAGCCTTCTGAGCCCAGCGGGAGTTCCCGCCGCACTCTGAATGCTTGCGGATAGCCTGTTTTGGGGGCTGGGGGCGGGGGAAGCTCGGGCTTTCCCCATCCCCAGCCCCGCAAGCTCCAGGAGCGACGGCGAGGTTGCGAGCAATCTCACCGCCTCTCCTGGACCTGTTTTGGGGGCTGGGGGCGGGGGAAGCTCGGGGTTCCCCCGCCTCAGCCCCGCAGCTAAAAACGAAGCCGCGTGCAACCTCTCCCGGCTGGAGAGGTTGCGCGTGGCTAAAGAGGAAGCCAAGACAGCCAGCGGGATGGATCCCGCTCGCTGTCTTGGCTTCTTTGCTCTTTGGGGCTGGGGGGGAAATATATTTTTTTTCTCTATTTCCCCCCCTAAAAACTAGGTGCGCCCTATGGTCCTGTGCGCCCTATGGAGCGAAAAATACGGTACTTAACCTGAGGTACCACTGTAAGTTTAAACCAGTAGCGTCTCTAAAATCCTGCTCTCCCCCTCCCCCCAGTGACACATAATTCCTATTATTCAAAAGGTGAATTCCTATTCACATGGAAGAAGCCTATAAGGCCATTCACTGTTAATAAAATCCTCCTCAAATTGCCCCCCTTAGAAATCAAATTGTCCCCTGTGGGGATCACGGCTCTAAACAAATTCCACCTGTATTTTCTGCTACTTCCCTCCCTCTGCGGTTTCTTATATTATTCCGTATTCTTGCTGCATAACCAATTCAAACCTATTTACAAATCTACCCTTTTTACTTCCTCTAAGTTATTTCTCACCACTCGTGTTTATGTCAACCCTGCTAATGTTTTTAATTGTTTACAATTTGTCTTTACATATACAACAAATGTTCCCTTGTATTTACGGGCCTCTCCTGGTATGCCCCACAGAGGACCTTAAGGTCCATGAATAATCATAGTTTAGAGGTTCTAGGCCCTAAGGAAGTCAGATTATCCTCTACCAGGTCCAGGGCCTTCTCAGTGATGGCTCCGACCTGGTGGAATGCTCTGTCCCATGAGACCAGGGCCCTGCAGGATTTAACTTCCTTCCGCAGGGCCTGTAAGACAGAGCTATTCTGCCTGGCTTTCAGTTTGAATTTAGCCTGATCTTTTATTCCCCTTCCTTCCCTCCCCTTCCCCTTTTTATGAAGATTACCTACTCTGGGATCCCACAGCTAATTCTCCCCTGGTCTCCTTGCTGGCCCAATAGGACTAACTTAGCCAGCTAGCCCTGGTGATCATCTAATGTTTATTGGATGGATTTCCCCCCTAAATTGATTTTTGAATTCTAAATTTATTTTATTCACGTTTTATACTGTATTTTATGCTGTTTTTTGTTGCATCAATTAAGTGTTTTAAATTTGTTGCTAGTCGCCCTGAGCCCGGTTTTCTGAACCGGGAAGGGCGGGTATAAATAAAATGTTATTATTATTATTGTGTTTAAAAAACCCTCTCTCATCTTGATATTCTTCCAGTAACTTTCGCCCCATCTCTGCGTAGTCCATCAATTTTAGTTGCCGCGCCTCTTTTGTTGGAGCTGCTTCTTCTTTCCATCTTTGGGTGTATCTCATTTGGGCAGCCGTGGTAGTGTACATAAATAGTTTTTTCCCTGATCTTTGGGTACCTCTTATCACATTCTACCTAAAAGAAAAGCTTCTGGCCTTTTAACAAAGGTTATTTTCGATATTTTTTTCCAACTCATTATAAAGCATTTCCCAGAAAGCTTTTACTATCTTGCACAACCACCACATATGATAAAAGATACTTTCTTTCTTAGGCATGAGTGAGGCGCAGTCTTCCAACGAGTTCCCCCGGGCAGGCCATCTTGAGTTTCCCAGTAGATTGAGGCCCATCTTAATTAGAGAGGGAGGGTCTGTGCTGAGTGGGAGATTCCATCAAAATATCTTGGGCCATCCCTGGAGGTGACCTTCAGGGCCTTCTCGGAGGCTGCTCCCAGACTCTGGAACTCCCCTCCCGGACAAACTAGACTGGCTCCCTCTTGGTTGTCCTTGAAGACCTCCTTGTTCCAACAGACTTTAGGGAATTGACGGCTTTGTGCCATGCTATTTATATTGTACCGTATTTTTTGCTGTATAAGATGCACTTTTTCCACTTCAAAAATTAAGGGGAAATGTGTGTGCGTCTTATGGAGCGAATGTAGGCTACTTTGCTTCAGTGATAGCAACGCGCAGCCTCCGAAGCGCAGAGGGAGAGCTCCTCCACGCTCCTTGGCTTCGCGTCGCGTTCACAACTCAGTGGATTGAGTGAGATCCGAACCCAGAACCCCCTTGGCTGTATGAGGTCATAGATAAAAGTTTCACTTGGCTTTAATATGTTCCTACATCTTTGTGTGGGGGACAGAGAAAAGGCTCGAGGCTGTTCTTAGCCTGCATAAACATCTAAAGCACACAACACCCTAAGAATCCTGGGAATTGTAGCCTGTTAAGGGTGCAAGGAACTGTAGCTCTCTGTGAGAGGTAAATTGCAGTTCCCAGGATTCTTTGGGGGGAAGCAGCACACTTTAAATGTATGCTGAAAGCACGGACTTTTATTTTGTTTGGTTTTTTGTTTGTTTTTTTTCAGATGATCTTTATTGAATTTTTAGTTACATACTGTACATACACATACATTATATTTCACATTTGTTCTTGCTCTCCCGAGCTGACTTCCCTCCTTCCTTCTTCTGGCTTTTTTGTGTCCTCCTTGACTTTTCACATTGTCTTTGACCATTTTCCACAAGATTGTTCTTCTTCATTTTTTCCATTAAATGTCCGTAAACAAATAATTTTTTCTATATATACAAATTCTTGCTGTCTGTCTATATTCATTTACAAATATTGTTCAGTAATAATCCTAATATACATTTTTAATTCATTTTGATGTTATTATCCAGTAAATTTCTTGTATTTTCCCGTTATGAGATATTATTTTAATTCTACTGGTTTTCCTATTTCACATCATCTTCTATAACATAAATTTCCCCCCTTCTTTTTGATTATGTTTCATCCCCCTGATGTCAAATTTTTGCTGTTAATTTTTGATGTTAATATTTCTCCGTACTCCATAACCTTGTACTGCCATTCTTCTATTGTAGGCGATTTTTGCTGTTTCCATACCTGAGCCAGCAATAACCTTGCTGCCGTTGTTGTGTATAAGAACAGTTTCTGGTCATTCTTGTCAATGTCTTCTCCCACCCTTCCCGATAGGAATGGCTCTGGTTTTTTCAAAAACATATACTTAAAAATCTTCTTTAATTCGTTATATATATTTTCCCAATACGTTTTCACTATGTCACAAATCCACCACATGTGGAAGAAACTGCCTTCTTTCACCCCACACTTCCAAGAATTTTTATTTCCTGTTTTATACATCTTTGACAATTTAATTGGCGTGACCCTCCTCTTGACAGCCATGCAGAAGCAAATGGAGCAAGACCGGAAGCGCTTTGGCCAAGCTGCCTGGGCCACGGCTTCTCCCAGGTTAGAAAACTTGAAGTACCTGTTGGCGAAGGAGACTCTGCAACACATGAGGGCCAAAGAGCTGTGCCTGAACCACAAGAGAGCGGACATCCGGAAGCAGGTAAGGGCATCACCCCACATTCTCCTCTCGTCTCGCTAGAGGAGCCTTCCAGTTGTGGGAGTCATGAGATGGAGGGTGAACATTGCAGCTAGGAAACAGCCTTAAAGGTAAAGGTAAAGGGACCCCTGACCATTAGGTCCAGTCGTGGCCGACTCTGGGGTTGCGGCGCTCATCTCACTTTATTGGCCGAGGGAGCCGGCGTACAGCTTCCGGGTCATGTGGCCAGCATGACTAAGCCGCTTCTGGCGAACCAGAGCAGCGCACAGAAACGCCATTTACCTTCCCGCCAGAGTGGTACCTATTTATCTACTTGCACTTTGACATGCTTTCGAACTGCTAGGTTGGCAGGAGCTGGGACCGAGCAATGGGAGCTCACCCCGTGGCGGGGATTCGAACCGCCGACCTTCTGATCGGCAAGTCCTAGGCTCTGTGGTTTAACCCACAGTGCCACCCGCATCCCTAGGAAACAGCCTTAAGGCATCCCTTAAATGCGTTCCTGCAATTGCAATCTGACGAGGCTAAACAAACCTCATACAGCCTCGGCCCAATAATAATAATAATAATAATAATAATAATAATAATAATAATTTATTATTTATACACTGCCCATCTGGCTGGGTTTCCCCAGCCACTGTGGGCGGCTTCCAACAGTATATTTAAATACAATGATTCATCAAATAGTAAAAGCTTCCCTAAACGGGGCTGCCTTCAGATGTCTTCTAAAAGTCAGATAGTTCTTTATTTCCTTCACATCTGAAGGGAGGGCGTTCCACAGGGCAGGCGCCACTACCAAGAAGGCCCTCTACCTGGTTCCCTGTCACTGAAGGAGCACCTCCACCCCCATCGTCCAGCCCAGACACTGAGGTCCAGCTCCGAGGGCCTTCTGGCAGTTCCCTCCCTGCGAGAAGTAAGGTTACAGGGAACCAGGCAGAGGGCCTTCTCGGTAGTGGCGCATGCCCTGTGGAACGCCCTCCCTTCAGATGTGAAGGAAATAAACAACTATCTGACTTTTAGAAGGCATCTGAAGGCAGTCCTGTTTAGGGAAGCTTTTAATGTTTGATGTTTTATCGTGTTTTTAATATTCTGTTGGGAGCTGCCCAGAGTGGCTGAGGAAACCCAGCCAGGTGGGCAGGGTATAAATAATAATTTATTATTGTTATTACTAGCCTATGGCAGGCATAGGCAAATTCGGCATCCCAATGTTTTGGGACTACAGCTCCCATCATCCCTGACCACTGGTCCTGTTAGCTAGGGATGATGGGAGTTGTAGTCCCAAAACATTGGGAATGTCGAGTTTGCCTAGGCCTAACCTATGGCAAGTGGCCTTAGCTGAGAAGCTAACAGACAGCTTAAAGGAAGCAGTGGGCAAAAAGGATGGTTTCGTTACAGGTTTGCATTGTTTCATCATGTACGACAGCAGATCGGGTCACCTGTTCCAGCCACCATTGACAAGCAGAGATTTGTGGAGGGAAAGAGAGTGAATATGTACAGGTTATTCGTATATTTCATTGTTTACAGGTGCCCTGGAAATGTGTGTTTTATTTTTACTTGCGTGTTCTACAACACACACACACACACGCATACAGTGATACCTCGGGTTACAGACGCTTCAGGTTACAGACGTTTCAGGTTACAGACTCCGCTAACCCAGAAATATTACCTCAGGTTAAGAACTTTGCTTCAGGATGAGAACAGAAATCGTGCGGTGGCAGCAGGAGGCCCCATTAGCTAAAGTGGTACCTCAGGTTAAGAACGGACTTCCGGAACGAATAAAGTTCTGAACCCGAGGTACCACTGTGTGTGTGTGTGTGTGTGTGTGTGTGTGTGTGTACACACACACGGAAAATGCCCCTCTGATGGGAGGGAAGCACGATGAGGGGAAACGGCCGAGTGACGTCGTTTTGCTTCTAATAGTTTGTGGGCTTAATGACACTTCCTGCAGATGGAGACCCTCCAGGAGCAAGAAAATGACATGGCCCGAGTCGAGGAGCTGGAAATAGAATATTATGAAACACAGCTGGAGCTGTACGAGGTGCAGTTCGAGATCCTGAAGAATGAAGAAATGCTGCTTATTACACAGTTGGAGTCTTTAAGGAGGCGGATGAAAGGTAAGCAAGCAAAATGAGCCACACCTGCCAGGGACTGGGCAGCTGTTTCTCTGCTCTCATGCAGTAGCCGGGGCAGCAGTTTGGAGCCTCCAGTCAGAGAGCAGCAACAGGGGAAAGGATATTGTGTTTTGTGTCCTGCTTGGAGGCTTCCCAGAAGGATCTGGTTGGGTAGTGTGGGGAGCAGAATGATGGACCATTGGCTGACACCTCTGACACTCGTCAGTTTTCCCACTCTACACACCGGCTTCCAAAGTTGTCAGCCATAATAATAATAATAATAATAATAATAAATTTTATTTATAACCCGCCCTCTCCAGCCGAAGCCGGGCTCAGGGCGGCTAACAACAATAAAATAGTACAACATTCTAAAATCATTCCATTATAAAATTAATTCAAATCAAATTGATGGCAACCATTAGGCTAAAGTTCTGTGAAGATTGCCAAAGGAGGGAGTCAGGCTGTGCCCTGACCAAAGGCCTGGTGGAACAGCTCTGTCTTGCAGGCCCTGTGGAATAAAGCATTGTTTTTACATTGCCACTCCAGGGGCAAGGCCAGAACAGTTAGTCACACAGAGACACAGCAGGCAGCCTCCTTTCTGAGAAGTGGTCATTATGCCACGGTGCTGGATTGAACAAGTTTACCTGTGCGCCTTAAGGAGGCTGGAAGAGGGAAAGTATATAGAGCAGGGCATCATGCAGAGATGCAGCAGATAGCCAACTTTTGGGAATTTGGGGGAACTTGAAAAATATTATTTTCTTGAGCTTATTTAATATACGTGTGTGTACAGTCATACCTTGGAAGTCGAACAGCCTAGTTCTTGAACGTTTTGGCTTCCGAATGATCGAAATCCGGAAGTGTTCTGGTTTTTGAATGTTCTTTTGGAAGCCAAACATCCGACGCAGCTTCCGCAGCTTCTGATTGGCTGCAGGAGCTTCTTACAGCCAATCGGAAGCCACACTTTGGTTTCCAAACGCTTTGGAAGTCAAACGGACATCCAGAATGGATTCCATTCGACTTCCGAGGTATGACTGTATAGGTATAGATAGATAGGTAGATTTGCATATTTCACATAAGTAAACATTTTCTCCTTCCTTTAGAGATCCAGGATGAAGTAGTTTATTATGACACATGTGAAAACCCCGATGAGTTAGAAGCCACTGAGCAAGTCCTGGAAGAAACCCGTGTGCCTTCCTCTGAAATAGCTCAACTGAGGCAGAAGACCCAGCAGTTGGAGACGAAGCGTGGGATTATCTGCTCAAGGAGAGCTTACCTCAGAAACAAAAAGGCAAGTCGTCCAGAAAATTTCGGGTGCCCTAGTATTATTATTTATTAAATTTGCTTATCACCTTATACCCGCAGGTCTCACGGCTGTTCATAGGATAAAATCACAGTATAAAAAACACAACATACATAAAATAAAAAGAAAAAGAACCCAATAACACCCCCCCCAAAAAAACCCAACACACATTTTAAAAGGGCATTGAATGTCAAGTCAACCAAAGGCCTGGTTGAAAAGGAACTAGCGCCTAAAGGTGTCTAATGAAGGCACCAGGTGAACTTCCCTGGGGAGAGCATTCCACAGACGGGGAGCCACTGCAGAGAGGGCCCCGTTCTCAAGTTGCCACCCTCCAGACGTCTCGAGGAGGAGGCACACGAAGAAGGGCCTCAGGGTACAGGTGGGTTCATATGGGAAGAGGCGGTCCTTGAGGTATTGTGGTCCTGAGCTGTTTAAGGCTTTATAGGTCAAAACCAGCACTTTGAATTGGGCCTGGAAACTAATTGGTAGCCAGTGCAGTCGGACCAGGATCGGTGTAATATGCTCAAACCGTCTTGTCCCGGTGAGCAACCTGGCCGCTGAATTCTGCACTGTTGACATTGGAGGGAGACACTTGTTCCAATAAACATGATACACACACACACGTTGCGTTTTAAAATAAAATGGGGACCTCAGCCAGCATTTACAGCTGACCGGCATTCTTCTGCTTGGTTTTTCCATTAGGATCAATGTGAAGAGAGCCGCCACGCCCGGCTGCAGCAGGCTCAAGAGAGCTCACGGCATTTCCAGCAACATCACAGCATCCAGATTGTGAGTAGCAAGGAACTGGGAGAGAAATCTGTAAGGCAGGGGTGGGGAGTGTGTGGCCCCGCAAGCAAATGTTATTGGGTTCCAAGCCTCAGCCAGCATGGCCAGTGGTGAGGTGTGAAGTTGAGCAACATCTGGAGGGCCAGAGGCGCCTTGCTCTTCCTTTATGGAATTACAGTCGTACCCTGGATCCCAAACACCCTGGGAGTCAATCGTTTTGGCTCCCGGAAGTGCGTGTTCCGGTTTGTGAACGTTCTTCAGAACCCAAACGTCCAATGGGGTTCCGCGGCTTCTGATTGGCTGTAGGAGCTTCCTTCAGCCAATCAGAAGCCGCGCTTTGGTTTCCGAACTTTTTGGAAGTGGAACAGACTTCCAGAACGGATTCTGTTCGACTTCAAAGGTACTCCGGCTGAGCTGTAGTTAGTGCTGCATCATGCAGCGATTCACAGGAACACAGGGAAAGAAAGTAACAGTCTATGTCCTGGGAACTCTTGCCTTTATACCAGGTTTCTAGGCCTTGTGGTTGGGAAGGTACGCTTGGAAGCGGAATGGGCGGTGCTTGCTGGTAACCAGGGAGACGCTATTGGGGGTTGAACTAGATGACCCTTGGTGTCCCTTCCAACTCTATGATTCTGAGTCCTGTGTACATATCCCTCTGCCCTCGCTGCCCTGAGGATTGCGAAACCAGAATAAAGCATGCAAAATAGTTTGCTCAACTTGCGTGATCTATTCGTGACTCAGGATCCTACTTTTGGGGGCTGTAGGATTTGGATTCCCTGTGCATATAACTTTTCTGCACCATCTAGGGACGTGGGTGGTGCTGTGGTGTAAACCACTGAGCCTCTTGGGCTTGCTGGTCAGAAGGTCGGCAGTTCAAATCCCCACGACGGGGTGAGCTCCCATTGCTCTGCCCCAGCTCCTGCCAACCTAGCAGTTCGAAAGCACATCAAAGTAGATAAACAGGTACCGCTGTAGCGGGAAGCTAAATGGCATTTCTGTGTGCTCTGGTTTCCATCACGGTGTTCCGTTGCGCCAGAATTGGTTTAGTCATGCTGGCCACATGACCTAGAAAGCTGTCTCTGGACAAACACGGGCTCCCTTGGACTGAAAGCAAGATGGGCTCCGCTACCCCATAGTCACCTTTGACTGGACTCAACTGTCCAGGGGTCCTTTACCTTTTTTTGGGTTTTTTTACTGCACCATCTTCTGTATATTTACCCCAGTCATTGTAGCAGATCTCTATACAGTGGTACCTCGGGTTACATACGCTTCAGTTTACAGACGCTTCAGGTTACAGGCTCCGCTAACCCAGAAATAGTACCTGTGGTTAAGAACTTTGCTTCAGGATGAGAACAGAACTCGGGCTCCAGCGGCGCGGCGGCAGCAGGAGGCCCCATTAGCTAAGGTGGTGCTTCAGGTTAAGAACAGTTTCAGGCTAAGAACGGACCTCCGGAACGAATTAAGTACTTAACCCGAGGTACCACTGTATGCGGGTGTTAACTTTTTTCCGGTGTCCAAATGCAGAAAAGAGACAAAAGGAAAGAGGACGAGAAGAAGAAGAAAGCGTGGATAAAGCAGGAGCGAGAGAAAACCCTGGAGAGGCTCAAGACGTTCAAAGAGGTGAGTCTCAAGTCGAGCTCTCAGCGATCCTTCTGCCAGTGGAAAATCTTCCTTCTGGAGAAAAGACAAATCGAAGGTGGTGTGCTTGTTTCCTCGTTCCCCTGCAACTGGCCAGCGGCAGCAGGAAACAACAAAAACAAGTTCTGTTTTAGAAATTGTTATAATAAATTGGTTTGGCATGGGTTGTTGTTGTTTCTTAAACATAGGCTTATGTGGTGTAGGACCCACCCTCTTGCTTTGAAGTGATTTTGATATTGTATTTTTAAATGGCTCGATAACTCACCTTGGACGCTGCGACGAAGGCTGGGTAAGAAATCACGACCGCAGTTACAATCATAATACCTTCTTTCTGAAGTAGCAGAGGAAAGCACATTGAAGTGCACTGATTAAAATGATATGTTTATTGTATTCATAGCCTGCCTTTCCTCCAGGGTGTGGCTCTCCCCCTACCCATTTTAATCTCAAAACAACTTCAGTCAGTAGAGCAGGAGACTTAATCTCAAGGCCGAGGGTTCGAGCCCCATGTTGGGCAAAAGATTCCTGCATTGCAGAGGGTTGGACTGGATGAGTCTACAAACAATCCTGTGACATAAAGGCTGGCAACTGTCCCAAAGCCAGCCGGTTAAGGATCATGCTTGAGTGGGCATATACCGTATTTTTCGCTCTATAAGACTCACTTTTTCCCTCCTAAAAAGTAAGGGGAAATGTGTGTGCGTCTTATGGAGCGAATGCAGGCTGTGCAGCTATCCCAGAAGCCAGAACAGCAAGAGGGATCTTCTTTCGCTGCACAGCGATCCCTCTTGCTGTTCTGACTTCGCTTTGCTGGAGAGGCACTGCACAGCTTTCCCTCTCTGCGCAGTGCCCCTTCAGTGAAGCGGGAGGAGAAACACAGCCCCTCTCATTTCTCCTCCCACTTTGCTGGAGAGGGGCTGCGCAGAGAGGGAGAGAATATTTTTTTCCTTGTTCTCCTCTAAAATTAGCAGTGGGAGCGCTGCCGCTGTGCTCAGGAGGCTTCGCGTTGCTTTCGCTGAAGCCAGGAGAGCAAGAGGGATCGGTGTGCATCGATCCCTCTTGCTGTTCTGGCTTCGCTTCGCTGGAGAGGCGCCAGGCAGCTTTCCCTCTCTGCGCAGCGCCCCTTCAGCGAAGCGGGAGGAGAAACGGAAGGGGCCCCGTCCGTTTCTCCTCCCGCTTGGCTGGAGAGGCGCTGAGCAGAGAGGGAGAGAATATTTATTTTCTTGTTCTCCTCTAAAACTAGGTGTGTCTTATAGAGCAAAAAATACGGTAACCCCTGGTTTCCCAGGTCCTAGTCCGACACTCCAACCACCCACTAGCTCTCTTTCCACCATCGTTGCTCTTTGGCAGTTGAATTGCACCTTTCTGAAACCTGACAGCTCTGTCGTCGTTCCCCTTGCAGAAATGCCCAGCGCAGTTTGTGCTGAAGACTTCCCGGTCGCAGCCATTGAACGCCAAGCAGCCCCAGGGCACCTCCCGTCGGACTCCAGCCGGTGCCCCTCAGACGTTCTCTGCGAGCAAGACGCCCTCTGCCAAGACCTCCCGGCCAGCGCAACCCAAAGGCTTCAAATCGCTGCGGCAGAAGCCCTCGAAGGATATCCCTGTCCAGATTTTTGCCCCTCCGCCACCCGGCCCTGAGCAGCAAGGGAAGAGCAACGGGGAGCCGCCACTGTTGCCTCCCCCGCCGCCTCCCCCGCCACCACCGCCACTTCCCCCACCATCAAACAACCAGCCTCTCTGCTTAAGGACAGGAGCGCAAATCGGTGAGAAGCCTCTGCCCCTCTTGTGCAAAGACCCTTCTGGGAGAAGTGGCTCTTCAGAGAAAGCAGACGAGACGTCCCGGCGCACGGCAAACGATTATGCAGGTAGGGAGGGCTGTTATTTCCTTTTTCTGTGCATTGCTGATGCGTGCTGCACCACACCATCATGCCGGCTGACTCTGTAGGGATGCCAAACTTTGTAGCTTCCCAGAGCGGCCTCTGGCTCACCAATGTTCCTGGCTAATCGAGGGACCTTTGATCTGATCCAGGAAGGCACTTCTTAATATTGCAGACTGGAGCCATCCTGATTGGCTTCCTGCAGGCTTCTGGTTGCCCCTTGTGGGAGGAGGATGCTGAACTATATAGGCCATGGGATGCGGGTGGCGCTGTGGGTTAAACCACAGAGCCTAGGACTTGCCGATCAGAAGGTCGGCGGTTCGAATCCCCATGACTGGGTGAGCTCCCGTTGCTTGGTCCCTGCTCCTGCCAACCTAGCAGTTCAGAAGCATGTCAAAGTGCAAGTAGATAAATAGATAAATAGGTACCACTCTGGCGGGAAGTGTTTCTGTGCGCTGCTCTGGTTCACCAGAAGCGGCTTAGTCATGCCGGCCACATGACCCGGAAGCTGTACGCCGGCTCCCTCGGCCAGTAAAGCGAGATGAGCGCCACAACCCCAGAGTCATCCGCAACTGGACCTAATGGTCAGGGGTCCCTTTACCTTTACCTTTACCTAGGCAAACTAAGGCCCGGGGGCTGGATCTGGCCCAATCGCCTTCTAAATCCAGCCCGCGGATGGTCCAGGAATCTGCGTGTTTTTACATGAGTAGAATGTGTGCTTTTATTTAAAATGCATCTCAGGGTTATTTGTGGGGCATAGGAATTCATCCCCCCCCCCAAAAAATATAGTCCGGTCCCCCACAAGGTCTGAGGGACAGTGGACCGGCCCCCTGCTGAAAAAGTTTGCTGACCCCTGATATAGGCTTTCGTTCTGACCCAGAGGGCCTTTCCTTGCCTTCTTAATCAAGCAACAGACATTTCCTCATTTAGAAACTTCACTGCCACTGTGAAATTCAAAAGTAACTCTTCCCCCCCCCCCCACTCCCTCCTGGCATAGCGCAGGGACCAGCCCTCAAACATGTGAATTGTAATCAGATGGAAAAAGCAGGCAGTCCGCAGCTAAATTTGTAGGTGGCACATATGGCCACTTAACAAACGATGTGCTTTTTAAACATGTCGATAGTTATTGCTAAGTTAACTCAGGTTCCTTCCCCCCACCCCACCCTCTTGTTTTTGTTAATGATTTTTCTGCTTCTCTTGCTTGGTTGCGGTGGTTTTTAATTAAACGTGAAAAACTTAGATCTTAAAGGTAGCTTTGTGGTGTGGGGGGGGGCGCATGGGAACAGAAGCCTGCAGAAAAGGAACTTTGTGGGTGGGCGAGGGTGGGCTTCTCCTTTTGGAGATGGAGCCATAGGTTCAGTGGGAGGTTGCCTGCTTTGTACAGGGAAGATTTTTACAGGACCTCTGGAACGAATTAAGTACTTAACCCGAGGTACCACTGTATACCCTTTTTGCGTGTAACACTGGTTTGTCTCCAGTGCTGGTCCTGCTTGGAGGAGATCCATTAAATCATGGGTAGGCAAACTAAGGCCTGGGGGCCGGATCTAGCCCAATCGCCTTCTCAATCTGGCCCGTAGACAGTCCAGGAATCAGCGTGTTTTTACCTGAGTAGAATGTGTGCTTTTATTTAAAATGCATCTCTGGGTTATTTGGGGGGCATAGGAATTCATTCATATATTATTATTATTATTATTATTATTATTATTATTATTATTTTCAAAATATAGTCCGGCCCCCCACAAGGTCTGATTGACAGTGGACCGGCCCCCTGCTGGAAAAGTTTGCTGACCCCTGCATTAAATGAACGTGATTAACTTCTGTCTATTATCTCCAATGGGCCTCCTCTGAGGAGGACTTCATGAGATGTACCCACTTAGCCAAACCGTGACTTAGTGCATGCAGGTTTCCAAACTGGAGAGAGTTTGCAACCCGAGGTTCCACTGTACCAGTGTCCAGTTTTCCATTCTCGGCAAAAGTAGCTGCGGAGTTCCTGGAGTGTCTGGAGAAACCAGATTCATTGCCTTCCTCTCCCCTGTTCTCTTTCTCCCCTGCCCCCGAATCCTTGCAGCTGAGGGTCTTTTTTTTATTAGTTTTCAGTTCCAATGATAGCCTCATTATAAACAATGCCAAATTATAATGCAATTACTAATACCAATCATTCAGATACCAAATTATATAATTAAGGTGCCCCCCCCCAACATGCTAGACTTGATGGTTTACTTTATTTCTGCGTTCCGAAATCTTACAAATTTCAATTACACTCCGGTCAAAATAACAATCCCTTATATAACAACTGCAGTATTAACAACTTCCATTCATATCGACACATTAAATGGTTTATAAAGCTACAGGTGAGGCACTCAGATTATATCCTTGTTCTTTCTGTGTGTGGCAATTATTCTGTCCGAGATGTTTCTTCCTGTCCTTGTAAAGTGTTGTCTATCTTTTCCTGGTTGTTGCTGTTCTCCATCATGCCTTGGTTGGAGGTAATATTGCCTTGTTGTTTCAGAAATCCTCCGTTGCTCCGTCCCGTGCATCATTGTTTTGCAACTTTAACAGCAGCTGCAAAAATCACACTGTCCCAGTAAATAACCTGTTTTCGCCATTTCCCCTCTCAGCCCGGGAAGGAGAGTGATCTGTTGAACAGTGGCTGAGGGTCTTAATTTTGTTTTCCCTCCTGCCACAGGATCCATGGATGAGGTTTTGGCATCGCTGAAGCGTGGCGAAATCCTTCTCCGCAAAGTGGAACCGCCCCGCCAGGCGCCATCTTCCAACAACTCCCTCAACGACAGCATCCTCGCGGCCATACGGCAGGGAGTTAAGCTGAGGAAAGTGACCCAGGAGCCCAAGCTGGACACGGAGAAAGGGCACTCCAGCAGCGAACTGGAGAGGAGCATCAAGGCAGCCATGCAAAGGATCAAGAAAGTGTCTGCCGATTCGGAAGACGACGAAAACGACCACAACAGCGGCGAATGGAATAGTTAACGGGAGCGGGCTTTCGAACTGCGTTCTGGGGTTTCCCCGGAAGGTTACAAAGGGTTCCCCTTAGAGAAGAAGGTAACTACTGGCGAACAAGCTCAGTTCACGCAGTGCAGCAATGAGGTCCACTTGATCTGGTCTGGGTCCTGCATTAACACCCTGGAACTTGTCCCAGAATCCCTTGCAAGCACAATGGAGTTCTGGGCCAGATAAGTTCATGTAGAAATATGTCAGTGTGTCCCACACGCCCCCTGGACTTAGGAAGTTTGAAAAACCATCATGTTTGACTCTATTCAGGTCAGCCACTTTACTGACATGCGACATTATGCTTTTATTGAATTTTGCACATTTTAAAGGAAATGTATTGGCCTCTTTTTAGGAAACGGAGGACTCTGTGTTTCCGGTGATTTGCCTACCAAAAATAACGCTTCAGAACTGTTTGTCTGTTTGTTTGTTTTTGAAGAAAAGCTGCCCCCTTGTTTTTGTTCCCAAGTCATTTTTGTTGTTGTTGTACTGAAATCAGCAAAACTTTTATCAAACCCATTTCTGTACGTTTGCCAGAAACCATCCAGTTAGACAATCCAATTCTCAGAATAATAATAATAATAATCAGGTTTGCAGCAGTGAAATAGACAGACTGAGGATTGGCTGCGTTTGTGAAGAGCCAATAAGGGCTCCCGTTAAAATTCTGATAGTGTAGAATAATAATTTTATGTGTGTGAAAATCACAACAGTTTCTTTGACTTAATACTCAAACCAATATTTTATGTGGGTGTCACCGTTGTTTCCTAAAAAGGGTATTCCATGCAGTATTTAGTAGAACCTAACTTGGACAAAACGCTGCTAATGTTTGTGAAGTTTTATGCAAAGGTTCCTTTTTAATAGTGCCATCATCAGTTAACCGGGAGAGAAGTACCCATCAGTTTGGTGCGTTTTATTGGAACCGTGCATGCTGCCTTATACACTCCCGGTATAGCTCAGTTGGTAGAGCAGGAGACCCTTTAAATCACAGGGTTGTAGGTTCTAGCCCCACGTTGGGCAAAAGATTCCTGCATTGCAGGGGGTTGGACTAGATGACCCTCGTGGGTCCCTTCCAACTGTACTATTCAGAATCAAGCCATTGGCCCCTCTAACTCCGTATTGTCTACACTGACTGGTAGCATCTGCCTAGGAATCCAGATAGCAGTGTTTCCCAGTCTACCCTGGAGATGTTGAGAACCTAACCTGCATGCTCAGAGAAGGAAGGGCTGGGTAGATAACATTTCTGCTCCCCCAATACTATCAACTTTGGGGTTTCAGTTTAAGGACAGCCTTCCAGGGAACTATAGTGAGCCTAGGTCAGGCATGGCCAAACTCGACCCTCCCGATGTTTTTGGGACTACAACTCCCATCATCCCTAGCTAACAGGACCAGTGGTCAGGGATGATGGGAGTTGTAGTCCCAAAACATTGGGAGGGCCGAGTTTGCCTATGCCTGGCTTAGGCCTCCTCTGTTGTCACGGCAACTTTGTGACGTAGGAGGCAAAGATGCTGCGCCTGTGGAAGGAGATGAAATCTGGACCACAATGTACTTGAGGTTGCTACCAAACTCAGGGACCTTGCACTAGGGGGAGTTAATCATGCATCACTGAAGGTTCCTTACCTATTTTTGCATTTGGTTTTGGTTCCAGTGCTGCTCCTACAGGAGAGGGTGAGGCTTTGCGCCGCAAACCGTGAGGACAACCAGGCACCCATTTGTGTCATGTGTTTTATTGCACTTTTCAGTTACAAGTGTTATTTCGGTTACCGTCATAATGTCATACCAAAATGGGTTAAGATGACAAATAACTTGCCCACAGCCATTGTTTTCAGTGCTGGGCAGAGATCTGAACTGGAGATTTCCAAATTAACTTCAGCTTATAACGAAGTGGGCTTTGTATAACTACATAAAAAGCATGTTGCCATATTTCACACTTCTGTACTAAGCAGCAAAGATCTCCAACAAAGTATTCTGACCATATCTAGTGTGCCAAGCGAGGGAGAAATCTGATTGATTTTGCTATTAAAAAAAACAAACAGCCCCCCCCCTCCACATATTCTTCATTTTTCTGAAATGTTCCAAACTCTCCACACCCAGGTTTTTCTCTTGTATCTCGGCAGTTTCCCATCTGCTTGCAATTTTCCATTTTAGTGGTCACCAGAAGGCTTAAAACATATCGGGTAGAAGTCAACTAAGCTTTGCTCAGTGTAGACCCAATGAAATTAAGAGACCTGACTCATTTCAGTGGGTCCTGGCAGAATAAAACTTAGTTGAATACCACCCTTTCTAATCAACAATGTTTTTAATGTAATCTAACCCACTTGTTAAAATATGCCAAGATTTAAGCTGTATTTTGTTAATATCCTGGATTGTTTTTACCACTATATCTTATAATGTGTAAGTCATCAGCATCTTCTCTTCTGCATTTCCATCATCTTATCACAGGTTAGGGATAAATGGGAGTCCTGCTCCAAAAAAACATTTGGAGGGCTGCAGGTTCTCCATCCTTGGCATAGCTAGTGACAGATGAAGAATAGGGAACCTGCAGCTCTCCAGATGTTATTGGACTAGAACTCCCATTTTCCCCAGTATAGCATGGCCAGTGCCCAGGGACGAGGGGAGTTCCAACATCTGCAGGGCTATCGCTCCCATCCCTGACCCTTGGCCATGCTGGCTGAGATGGACAGGATTTGTGAGTCCCCCGGACAGCTGTAGGGCCGCAGGTTCCCTACCTCTACAGTATGTAATGCATCCTTTTCAAGGATCTTAAATGGCCTCATAATGAGTGTGTGTGTGATTAAGTAATATTGGCCATTGAACCTGAAAGGGAGGGGGGATATTCTTCCATTTCTTTTCAGAAGGCAAGGTAAACATTTCTCCCATTCAAGAGCATAATGCTGAATAACCCGCCTAACATGGTATTTAGGTGAGCACTTTATATTTTAAAAAATCCCAAACGTGGCTGCATCCCTATTCATTTGATGTTTTGTCTTACATGCTCCTTAATAAAGTGTGCTTTCGGAGGATGCTGGGGAAACCTTGGTCTCTGCCTCCTTTCTTGCCAGACTCAGTTGGGTCTTGCTTCAAGGCTGCTGCCAAGCGAGAGTTGGAGGAAGGAGGAATCTGCCTTTTGCTTCTCGGCCAGAGACGACCAAACACCTTCCCAGAACAGAGACGAGCTGCTGGAGTTTGGCTGCATTTGCAATTTGAGAGGGAAATGCAGCCACTTGTTGACAATGGACACAGCTTGGGGGATAGCCTTGGCTTACAGTTCTGCTTTATCGCTTTCTTGTTAGCTTCACGGGCAGGAGTCACGTAGGTTTTTGGCACATGCGTTTGCCTCTCTGAAGCATAAGACGGCCTGCCTTTATTTTAAAGCTGTTTTTCAAGATCTGGTGTTAAGTCACGGAAAACAGAAAGCAACAATTCCACCGAAGTTCAGATGGGAAGTGATCACAAAAAAGCAGTAGTAGATAGAACTAGCAATTTAACTCCAGCTGAACGTTTCAAAATAGTGTGAGCTTTGCCCACTGAGAGAGGAGGAAAGTGGAATCAGCAATGAAATAGTGTGAGGTTTGAGACTGGCTGCTAGGCCTGAACTTAAGGCACATTCTAGCTATACTGCTTTTGTCTGTGTGTCGAGAAAGAAAGAAAGAAAGAAAGAAAGGTAAAATGGCTCACTTTATTCTTCTTCCTAAAACATCGCTGTAGAGCAGAGACGCTGAGTTCCTCCCAACATTGGGGGGGGGGCTCAGATCTGTCCCCCCATACAGCAGCATTGGTGCCTATGTAGAGGGATACCTAATGTCACAGCCCACGTCTCCCCAATTTCCCAAGATACTTACTAAGTACACACACCAATCTATTATATACTATCATAGCCCTTGTACACATAAAAGCCACTCCCTTAATTTTGGGCATCCCTGTTTGCTTCCAACCTCATGATTTTGCTCCTGACTGTCTTCGACAGAAGAATTCTGGAAGAATATATCTCTGAAGGCAGTGCCAGATTTATGTATAAGCTAAACAAGCTATAGCTTAGGGCCCCACTCTCTTAAAGGAAAAAAACCCTGGATGTACTTTGAAAAGATACATATTTTGTTATGTGCAGATGGCTTTAGATACCTATTAGGTCCATAAATTACCACATAGCAAATATTCAACTCAAAAAACAGCAACAATTTGTTGTTGACAAAGGACAGCTGGATAAATAAAGGGCCCCATTACCTTCAGTAGCTTAGGTCCTCATCAAACCTAAATCTGGCCCTGTGAAGGGCTTGCCTGAAACCGTCTCTGCGTATTCCACAGGTAACCTTGAAACAACTAGGAAGTTCCTAACCCATGGCCATTAACTGAAACAAGCTCACTATCTTTATACGTACAGGCTTCCTGTTCACTTCCTTCACAGAACTGGTCCATAGCTGTCAACTTACAGATTTGAAAATTAGGGACCAACAGCCTCAAAAATAAGGGATCAGCAGCCAAAATAAGGGATTTTCCGAACACAGGTATGTTCGACTTCTGAGCCCCTCCGAGCCAAAGGCAGAAAGCCCAGCCAGCAGCCAAACGAAGCCTCAAGCGGTGGTTCCCACAGCGCAGCAACCCAGCAAAGGGGATGCAGCAAGGAAAACCACCATCACCTCTCCGCTGGGAAGCGCTGAGCAAAGGCGAGTCCCCAGGCAATGTGGCCGATTTGATCAGCCCAAGGCATGCAAGCTCCACCCCCCAGTCGTTCTTAGACTCCTTATTGGGTGAGCAACGCAGCCAAGCAACACAGTTGGAGCCTCCCTCCTCCCTGGCCGGCAGGGAGAGGAGCTGCTTCCTTTGAAACCCGGGAAATTTAAGGGACATCATCAATAAGGGACAGCAGCGGGACACGGCGCTGGGATAAGGGACTGTCCCGCCAAATAAGGGATGGTTGACAGCTATGAACTGGTCCCTCCTTCGAAGTGAATGGGGAAAGTCTTGTGAAGAAGAACTCTGAGCGTGAAAGTAGGGGTTCAGAAGCTCAGATGCAGGGGCAGAATGTGGCCCTCCATGACTTATCTGGCTCTCAAGAATCTCCCCTCAGTGACCCTGCTCCTTCAGCTTCTGCCTGTCTTGAATGTGTCTCTGAGTCAGGGCATTTTTTCAGCCAGAACTCACCAAAACACTGTTCCTCACCCATCAGGTGGGCGTCATTGCCATTATAACAGAAAAAGGGAAGCATTTAAAGTTCTGGCACTTATTTTTCTAGAAAAATAGCACTGCCCTGAGTGTATGTAGAAACTAGCCTCCTTTATAAAGGTAACATTCACATTTGTTCCTGTGCCCCTGCCCACCATTCACTTGTGACCCCCAGAAGAGAGTGTGGCCTTGAGGCTGGGGGGAAAAACCCCCACTTCTGATCTCAATCCTTGTACAGTGGTACCTCGGGTTAAGTATTTAATTCATCCCGGAGGTCCATTCTTAACCTGAAACTGTTCTTAACCTGAAGCACCACTTTAGCTAATGGGGCCTCCTGCTGCTGCCGCACCGCCACTGTGTGATTTCTGTTCTCATCCTGAAGCAAAGTTCTTAACCTGAGGTACTATTTCTGGGTTAGCGGAGTCTGTAACCTGAAGCGTCTGTAACCCGAGGTACCACTGTACCTACAAATTTGTGGCGCCTGCCTTCCATGGTTTCTCCTTTCCTCTGGTGGAGTTTACGAACAAAAGCAAATTAAATGAACCAAAGACAGAGTGCCTAATATACTTTCCTAGAAGAACAGCAGCAAAGATTAATAATGCTGAATTTATAGAAGCTGAGAGATTAAAATAGAACCAGGCAGCATATTAAAATTCACTGCTAGGAAAGGAGTTGGTAATGGCACCACTGGCTTAGGAACGCAGAAACACTGGCGGGGGGGGGCGGGGGGAGCTCACCGTCCCCAGCACCATTGGGGAGGGGGGTACCATCGCGGCCTTCCCCCCGGATACGTGCCCACTCCCCCTCACCACGCTGGGCACCATGCTCTCAAAGGCAGCGCACCACACCCCCAGGACGCACACCACGCCCATGGGACGTGCGCCATGCCCCATGGGATGCGCACCAGCCACGTCCCCGCCTGCTCTCTGCCCCTGGTGCCAGAGCATGCAGCTTTGCTACTGCGTAGAGAGCGACATTATATACCGTATTTTTCACTCTATAAGACACACTTTTTCCCTCCTAAAAAGGAAGGGGAAATGTGTGTGCGTCTTATGGAGCGAATGCAGGCTGCACAGCTTTCGCTGAAGCCAGGAGAGCAAGAGAGATTGGTGCACACCGATCCCTCTTGCTGTCCTGCCTTCAGGGATAGCCGTCCGAAGCCTCCTGAGCGCTCCCGCTGCACTCAGGAGGCTTCGCGTTGCTTCGCTGGAGAGGCACTGTGCAGCTTTCCCTCTCTGCACAGCGCCCCTTCAGCGAAGCGGGAGGAGAAATGGAGCCCCTTTCATTTCTCCTCCCGCTTTGCTGGAGAGGTGCTGAGGAGAAGGAGAGAATATTTTTTTTCTTGTTCTCTAAAACTAGGTGCGTCTTATGGTCGGGTGCGTCTTATAGAGCGAAAAATACTTGAGGCCCCACGGAGAGCCTCAAGGTCCATAAATAGCAACACCCTAGTGGTCCCGGGCCCTAAGGAAGTTAGATTAGCTTCAACCAGAGCCAGGGCCTTTTCAACACTGGCCCCGGCTTGGTGGAACGCTCTGCCCCATGAGACCAGGGCCCTGCAGGATCTGATTTCTTTCCACAGGGCCTGTAAGACAGAGTTGTTTTGCCTGGCCTTTGGCTTGGAGCCAATTTGATTCCCTCCCCCTCTTTCTTTTTTCTTTTTCCGTTCTCCTCCTGTGATGAGGCTGTATTTTAATATTTTAATGTTTCCATATTTTAATGTTGTATTTTAATCTTGTTTTTAAGTTGTATTCATTCAACGTCTTTTTATTATTGCTTGTTAGCCGCCCTGAGCCCGGCCTTGGCTGGGGAGGGCGGGGTATAAATAAAAATTATTATTATTATTATTATTATTATTATTATTATTATTATTATTTAGCTCAGTATCGTCTACACTGACTGGCAGCTGCCCTTCAGAGTTTTGGACAAGAGTCTCCTAGCCCTACCTGGACTGAACCTGAAACATTGCACATGCAAAACACTGAGCTATGGCTCTTTTCCATAGGAAGTCCTGTTTATTTGGCTTTTTCCTCTTTAGATCTCCAGTGAACGAGCAACAGCACCCGTCATCATAATAATGTATTGCTAAAAAGTAGGGGGAGGGTCATATCGTTTTGCGGAAAGGCATAATTGAGATGGAGCACACAGGGCAAGCTGATGCATTTCCTACCCTGGAACCCCCCAGTGCAAGTACGAAATTAATAGCCGATGAGATAGCCAACAGAGCAAAGATGTAAAAAGGGGGAATTACTTGGGAGTTGTGGATGAACAGGTGCTTATTTTGTTCCACACCATTAGAGAAAATGCAGCACGTTCCATCTCTCAGTCTCACCAGTTCCCTGTGCAAACATCTATCGCAGACAAGCTGGAACTTATAATTAGATAAATGGTGATGATACACATGCTGGGTCTCAGATCGATGCTATTTAAGGACACACACAAAGAGCCTGAGATCCAGCCTGAGATCATCCCTGCTTTTGCTGTATTTCATGCATGTCTACTTTGCTTTTTGCATCCCTGGAATGGGGCTCCCAAAGCAGCTTACAGAGAAGAGTTCAACCAAGTACCATTCAAGCGACAATAAGCATAATGAAAATTAAAAAGTTAAAAGGGAAGAGTTCAAATTCAAAAGTAAAACAGGAAAAGTAGATGAAACCGCAAGCAAAACATTACAGCTGTGCTGTATTGTCAAATAAAACCCTGCAGCAGAGAGGTTCACTCCAATTTATGCAGTTCCTTCCATTGCATACATGGAGCTCTGTGGGTTGCAAAGACACTTCAGTGGAGAATCTTTGCATATGCAATGGAATATGCTTTCAAAAAAGTCTAGGTTCAAATTCTTCCCTGAGGTATATACTCAACAGCCCTTTCACTATAGATTCAACCTATCAGATTTACTCCAGATTTACACTGGCATTTCCCATATAAAGTTTGGGTTAAGATTTGCTTATTTGCCCAGGCGTTTAATTTTTTCCTAAGTTAATTTCTGCTGTGTTGTTTTTATAGTTGCTTTGGT